TCCTTTTAATCCTCCAGAGCCTTTGGGGGATTAAACGGATTAAAAGGATTAAATGCTTGGTCGTACACAATTGGGGTTCTGGGGGCATCTGGAGGATTAAAGATTAAAAGGATTAAGAATCATTTAATCAATTTAAATCCCCAAGGCTTCTGGAGGATTAAAAGGATTAAAAGGATTAATCCATTTAATCCTTTTAATCCTTTTAATCCTTTTAATTCTCCAGAGCCCCCAGAACCCCAATGTGAGGACCAAGCATTTAATCCGTTTAATCCTTTTAATCCTCCAGAGGCTTTGGAGGATTAAAAGGATTAAAAGGATTACATGATTTAATCCGTTTAATCCTTTTAATCCCCCAAAGGCTCTGGAGGATTAAAAGGATTAAAAGGATTAAATCATTTAATTCTTTAAATCCTCTCAATTTTCCAAAAAGCTTTAAACATTATCAGAATTAACCGGAACAAAATGGTACCTAAAGGTCTCTCGATCATATATATATATATATGTTTATATTTATATGTATATATAATTTTCCTCATAAACTCCTACTGTTGGTGGTTTCAACCCCCCAGATCACCCAATTCCCTGTGCCATCGCGACACGTTTTATCTCGTTTCAGGATCCAAATTATCCAAATTGAGGCAAATTGAGCACCAAATACAATTCAACATGGGAGTAAACTCCAGCATTGTAATATGGAAAATCACCATGTTTAATGGACAAATCCAGTATAAATGGCAATTTTCAATAACTATGTCAGCCATTACCAGAGGGTAATAAGTACGGTATGGTGTTCTATCGCTTAAAAATCATCTTCTATCCATCCCGCTGATTCACCCAATCGAAGAAAACCCAATCGTTTGTGGCTTATGATCTGCTGACTTTTTGCATGCTCTGTATCTCACTTGTTCCGGTGAAGGCGAACATGAATAACGTGAAGCAAATAAATCGAACAAATCCACATGTTTTTTATTGGGGTATACCCTCTGGTAAACTGACATAGCTATTGAAAATGGCCATTTTATAGTGGATTTTCCCATTAAACATGGTGGATCTTTCCATAGTTTTTTGTATGTTTACCAGAGGGTATCAGTTTCTTATTCCCAGTGGTTCTGATACTTTGCAGGCCAAAAGACCGCCACGCAGTCCGGTGGATTAGGCGAAGAAACAGCACCAAGAATCGCACACATGTGAAACACCATAAAAAACTGGTGGTTTCTACAACCAAACCATCCCAAAGCCATGACTAAAGTGACTAAAGGTCAAACAACTCATCAAGAAACGGGTGATTTAAACAGATTTAAACGAACATCATCATTTTTGCCCAAAAGCTGCCGCTTTTCCAGCACATTTTACAAGGACTTTCAATTTTTTTCAGCACATCCAAGCCCTCCCCGCTTCCCGGACCTCATCGAGTTCCTTGCAGACAAGATCTGGGATGAGACAACCTTTATTGATATGCTACCTCCAAAATCGAAGTACCTGAATTTTCAACCGATGCCTCTGATCAAAATCGTGGCTTACCGTCCCATTTTTCCGGTTGAAGTCAATCCATTGAAACATGGGGAGGGGATCTCCGAAAGCAATTGGGGAGATAACCTTGTGCATGCTGATGCAAAGGGCCTCCATATACCTAGCTACCTAGCTACCTAGCTACCTATCTAGCTAGCTAGCTATCTATCTATTTATCTAGCTAGCTCTCTGTCTCTCTGTCTGTCTGTCTATCTATGTATCTATCTACTGTAGTCTAGTCTAGTCTAATCTAATTTACAGTAATCTATTCATCCGTCCAATCTATCCAATCTATCTATATAATCTATCTGATCTATCCATATGTCCTTCTATCCATCTATCGATCCACCTATCCACCTATCCATCCATCCACCTATCCATCCATCCATCCATCCATCCATCCATCCAATCTATATATATACATCATTCGTTGAGCTTGAAACATCTTAGATGGCAAAACCAACAACGACAATAGAGGAAAATGGGATTTTGGGCTGGGTTATCACGTGGCTAGAGTGATGATATCACCTGGAAAAACATGTTTAGGAAGAATTAAGGAGACGGGCAATCATCCGAACCAGAAACTTGCCAACTGTTTCCTGTATATAACACGTGCATGGGATATTTGACTACTCAACTCTTGGGTCGTTTTTGATTTAGGACCTCTACAAATCAGACAGCTACGCGCATGGGCCCCAGTTTGTAAACTACCTTAATTTGCATAAATCTTAGGAAATAAACTCTGTAATAGTTTAATGGTTCAATAACAATTGCAAAGTCTGTAAGCATCCAAAATATCATTTCACCTGTGAGAACAAAATTGGAAAAAGCAGGAGCGGTCAAGCCCCAACCCTGAGAAAAACACACCTTGTTGAGAGCCTGACTTGGGACGCAAATCAGATGCTAAAACTCTGGGGATCAACCCCAATTTTTTCAAGCCCTGAACAACAACTATTGGGCAAAATGAGGTGTTTGGGCGGAGTATTCCCAACCAGAGATTAGTATCAATCTCAAATTCATCGTCCTGTGGTTGATGAATGTGGAGAGTACCAGTGCCGTTCAGCTACACTCTGAATGAACTCAGTTCTGGGGACGCCGCGAAAAGGGATCGAGCAGAGGTTTGAACATTGTGGGTTACAAACATGTTCGAACCAGTCTATGTAGATTGCATCCACCAAAAATACATCATTACCAAGGAGCGACCTGAAGATGGGGACACATACGGGTTATATAATCGGAAAGATGTGACGAATAAAGGGTCGATAATCAAACACATATTTCATAATGACCTTACATCAGCAAAATAACTGTCTTATCTAAGAAAACCGAATGGTTCATTGTTGTTTCACTTAACCAATGGGGACCCCATTGTGTGTGGGAAGGACGGGGGATTATCTGACAACATCTGGCAACGTCTCGCAACTTTCACCGCTGATTCCCCTCACGATGAAAGCAACGGAGTTTTCTCAGAAAACTTGGCTTGAGAAAAGCTTGATATGATGCCCCCTACAGGAAACAATAATATGTACAAATATATATATATATATATAGGCATAATATAATTTAATATATGTATATATATATTATGTGTATGCGTATATCTATATAAAAGGATACAATCATATATATATAGATATAAATATAACTATATAACTACATCCTACAACTAACTTACATCAACGTTGCTGTTTCATGGCACTTTTCTCCACAGGCCACGCTGGCCTTTTTCAAGCTTTCGAAGGTCTCTGGCGCAGCCTTCGATGACATCCTCGGATCCAGTGGCATACCTACCCCTCTGAAAAATATGAGTTCGTCAGTTGGGATGATAACATTCCCAACATATGGAAAAATAAAATTCATGTTCCAAACCAACCAGATAATTATTAACCTTAGCTAGGTCATGTAGCCTCCAAATGGATTAAACGATATTAAACGATATGAACAACGTATGGAATCCATTATATTAATCCATTGGATATTAATCGAGCCAAAATCGGCGGATGTTGCGTGCACTGGTCTTGGATTCTTTGGGCCCAGAAACGCCCAAATGATCCAAACATGTGATTTCATGGAGGAAAAATATGTTAAATCAATGTTAAACACTCTACAAGTAAGGTTTTGGGTAATCCTCCTGCATTTTTGGATTTGTTTGACTGATTTCTTCGTCCCCCTTCGGTGGATAATGATTTTGCCGTGGAACTTCTGAATCACCTTCAGCACTGAGAGCATGGCCTGTGCGAAGTTTGCGCAGATTTCGACTTGGCTTGAGGGAAAATCCATGGGAAACCATGGTCTCACTATCCAAGCCGAACAAATGTAATCAAATGTAGGTGGGTCACTCTTGCAATTTCTCCCGGAAATAATATAAATCCGTGAATTCGAAGAGATGCTATCGGAATCCGTGGGGGAAACATGCCAAGCTACTTGATGACGTCCATCCAATGATCTTGCCTATCCCAAAAAATCGAAGAAATTGAAGGACGCGAACCCCCGAAGAATCTGCTCTCAGGCCCAGATTTTAGGTTTGCATCCTGCGAGAGTAAAAAACACAACACGTGTTTGACTAGTGTCACCAAAATGGGGGTACAACTAACGTTACGTTAGATAACAAGTGATGGGCAATTGCCTATTAATATCCATGAATGCATACGATGACAGCAGTCCTTCCTCCCCAACTTGTTCCACGGGGTCTAGCGCCTCAGTTTTGGTTTCCTCATCTGGCTCCTTATCGTCATCTTGCCTTGGCTCTACTGGGCATTGGCAGGTCTGGGGTGATGGCACCCCCTCTAGGTATAAAATCAAAGATAATGTCATCTTGGTCATCTTTGATTTGTCTCTTGCCCATCTTCTGCCTTTTTCATCTTCACTTGGCACGGCGGAAAACACATAAGACGTGCAGATACGTACAGCAGTTTGAGCCAAACATTGAACCAAACATTTGGAACGTTCCATTTATAAACCGCCAATCCCAACGAAACGCCAACGTCACCTTACTGGGCTGCTGAATGGTGATAGATCATCCCTTGAGTCGACCCACAGTATTGAAGGAGAACAACATCAACCAATCATTGAAACTCGAATCTAGCTTTCACTTTTTCCTTAATTTCAATTGATGTTGCAATCTATAATGTAATATATGCATATGTGCAAATATAACTTGATATATATATATATATATATGCATATTTATCAAAAAGAGGCCGCAGCTCAAGGCTCCTCAAATATGACCATGGCACACGACCTCCATTTTAGTTCTGGTAAATCCAGAATTTGCCTAAAATGGTGGATATAATATGATATAATATATATATATATATAATGCATCAATGAGGTTTCTCTCGCTGGGTTTTGCCACAAAAAACCTCAACATACCTCAACAAAAATGGTGATTTCACCAGCACAGAGACCTGGTCCCGATTCCAAGATGCTTGTCCTCGCGTTTGTGACGCTCCTGTTGCTGTCACCGGGGCCAACAGACGCCGTAGCATTTTACCTCTTGACACCGTGGAGGGGTTGGATGCCCCCCACAAAATGGCGATGGCACCAGGGATATTTCAGTCAAAATGGGCCAGCAAGCACTGTGCTTTTTCTCAAACTTGATCTAACTATGTGAATCATGATGCACCTAGGTTTTTTTAGTCTTTCTTTTTTTGGAATAATATAAGGCCACAACAACAACAACAGCAACAACAACAACAACAACTACAACTGGGGAGATAGTTTTTTTGGAAACACACAAGTCTCCCCCCGACCCATCCCCATCTCTGAGGCCCATAAAACTTGGCAGATCCATCTATTGGACAGATTGTCTAACCCATTCTATCCATTGTCAAAATGCTTGATATAGTGGGTTAGTTGCACACACACATATGTATATATGTGTATATATATATGCGTATATATATATATATATACGCGTATATATATATATATATAGATATATTGTCACAGGTATATATATATATAATATATACACATAATCATATATCATCATATATTCCAGCTTATTCCCAATGGAAAATGCAGTTTATGCCCCGGCCGCGTCCTCATCTTTTCGCTTGTCCTGTTCCGCCTGACGCTCTTTCTGTCTTTCTGCTCTCCTGAGGTCAGACCCAGCGAGAGATTCAGGGCTATCCGTCTGCATTGGAAAACGTGCCTTCAAGCACGTCCTTTTGGTGGTTAAATATGGTTAAATATGGTCAAATATGGTTGCAGTAAACATGGTTATGGTTGAATCATGTTATCATATTGAACTCCTACATTCTGTTGATAAGATTCTGTTAAATATGGATACAGTAAATTTGGTTAAATCTTGTTATCATGTTGAACTCATACATTCTGTTAATAAGATTCTGTTTAATATGGTTGAATATGGTAAAATATGGTTATAGTAAATATGGTTAAATATGGTCAAATATGGTTACATATGGTTGCAGTGAATATGGTTAAATATGGTCAAATATGGTTGCAGTGACTATGGTTAAATATGGTTACAGTAAATATGGTTACAGTAAATATGGTTAAATATGGTTAAATACGGTTACAGCGAATATGGTCAAATATGGTCAAATGTGGTTAAATATGTTTAAATATGGTAAAATATTGTTAAATATGGTTACAGTAAATATGGTTAAATCATGTTATCATGTTGAACTCCGACATCCTGTTGATAAAACCGAACTTTGGAGAATTCACTGGCCGACCCCATCTTTGTCCTGTCGGCTTCCATCTTGCTCCTCTCCTGCGGTGATTGCATCCATTCTGCTTGGTTTTAATGATGCCAAACCGAAAAGGGGGAACCATAGGAACCGGTTGGAACCGGCGGGGATCTGGAAAGGCATGTTTTGCGGCAGCAATTCCCCAATCTGATTTAAGACCATCCAGGCAATGAATGCGGGATTCACCCACCTTCACACTAGGTGCCTAACTGGAAACATCATGAAACATCCAGGGTATCCACTGTTCTATCTGGATGGTCAACGATTTAAAACCCCAAATCTGGCTGGTTCCAGCTTCCTCATTGACTTGACCATGGCTAAACATGTCCCATTTGCAGATGATATGCCCATTAAATATGCTCGTTTTCAATGGCTATGTCGGCCATGTTGAACTATGTTTATCTTATTTATTTATTTTGTATCTATTTGAATAGTGTGCCTGAAGATAGCATACCTGGCTGTTAAACATCACTACATGGAATAACTGGAATATCTTCAATCTGGATGTGTCCAAGAATGTGGCAGCCTCAAAATCTCATTGCCTGTCAACACTTTCCCAACTTTGATTGCCATAACTTTGGCATTTGGCACATCCACATACATCCACCATTTTGGATCACGACCAAATTGTTGGTTAGATACAATATATTCAATATCCAGTCATATCGTCTTACATCTAATTGTATCCCATAAAATGCTTAGTTTTATACCCCCATAACTTTTGTTGGTTCAAAACAATTCATTTGGGACAAATTCATATTTATCATGCTTTACCTTGCCCCCTTGCATTGCCAGCCTTTGATACCCTGCAAACAAGTAGATTTTTCGCCGGTCAGGCCAACATCTCCCCATTCACAGCCAAAAATACATTCTACTCAACTACCCATCACCAGTTAGCTTGCCACCATTTTTGATAGTATTTTCACTATTTTTTGCTACTACCAGTGCAAAGAATTGGTGTTTAAATCATGCTAAATTTACGTTTAATGCCTCCAATTAGCTATATAATTCCGATATTACCAACATACACATGGGTAACACCATGGTAAAACCATGGTAAAACCCAAGGTTTTACACATCATGTCCTCAGGTTCTTCCGATCCTTTCCAGACCCCTTTTGGACGGCCCTTCACCTCGTCTTCGCGCCGGCGCTTTTCCTCGCGGCGGCGCTGGAGCTCTTCTTCCCTTCGCCTGTCCCGGTGATACGACAGCGGTTGAAGTGTGTTCAACACCAAAGGTCGTCTTAGCAAAGGTAACATTAACAAAAACACAAACATATATACATAATTAAATAAATAAAAACAAATCAAAAAGTATATATATATAATTATATATATATATACATACATACTGGATTATATTGGGCTTCTATCAATTTCAAAGTCTTTCCGAAGAAGTCTTTCCTGAAAATTAAAGATGTGTATTTTCAACATGGGTCCACAATCCCGTGGATAGAAGTAACACGGAACAATGGCGAAAACAGTGGGAAAAACACATTGGGGATATGAAGCAACAACACTTGCTACTATGGGGTGATCTGAACATATGGATATATGGTACCTCCACATCCCTTAGTTTATCATCATACGAATAATTCAGTAGCAATCTTTAGGGTATACCCTCTGGTAATTTAACATAGCTATTGAACATGGCCATTTATAGTTGATTTTCCCATTAAAAATGGTGATTTTCCATAGCTATGTTAGTTTACCAGAGGGTACATGCCATGCCTATGGCATTTCCAAACACACAACCGTAACTCGCCCAACTCGGCGGACTGTGGATGACATGCCATGCCTCATTTCATCTTCCTTCCGTCTTTTCTCCTGACAGTTCTGTTTGCATCGACGATGCGATGGCGTCGCCAACGTCATCGAGGCGTTTGAAAGACCGTAGGAATAGATTTTAGACATAGATGCAAGCAACCCTGAACATGCAAATTATAAATATATAATAATATATACCTATATATGTGTATAAAATAGTATATAATTAATGACATATCATAATGCATATGTTTGTGATAGTGCCTGCACACACGAGCACACACAGACAGACATAGACCTAGAAACTTAGGCGTGCGGTAGAAGTGATGCATACAAATATGTGGATATGCCACATGGCTTGATCATGTGGTGAAGCAGAATGCGCTCGGGCTTAGGGCATGGTACTGACTATGTAGCGACAATTTGTACTGATTATTTTGAAAGCAGCACCCCATCTTTCGTTGTGTCCTCTTCCCCGGCTTTCTGCATAAGCTTGGCTTAGCTTGAAACCACCACGAGTTTGGAAAAGTTTGGGAGGGAAAAGGAGATGACATTCGAAGCATAGACTGTAACAAATGGATTTACCTATTGGTGATTTTCGCAAACTGAACTGTTGAATTACCCAAGGGTAACGTTGGTGAAGCAAGATTTGATTTCATCCCCCAATTTACAATTTTAATGGCTGCTTTAGTTAGACCAACATCATCCAACATATTCCAACCAGTAATTATGGCTGGTTAATTCTTGGTTTACTAGCAGTATTCCAATTTTCATCTGGTTGGTGGTTTCAACCCCTCTGAAAAATATTAGTAATGTTATAATTCCCAATACATATATGGAAAGTCATAAAATTCATGTTCCAAACCACCAACCAGCCAATTTTCTTCCGGTTGGGGAGACCGGGAGACCTCCAAATTTTACATCACATCGCCTCCTCGGGACTGAGTTTGGCCCGCTTTTCCGAGTGCCTTAGGGAGACGGCACGTTTCAGCCCGGATTTCGTTTTTTTTTGGGGGGGGAGAAGGGATTACGAAAAAGCTCTGAAAATTACCATCTGTTCTGAAAATTTTGACTAGTATCAATTTTGAAACCAAACTTGAATCAATTTTGACCCTTGCCTCAAACAGAAAGCCCCGAGGGCCAACAGGTCTTCATGATTTAAAATCTTCGAATGTGAAGAAACATCAGTACACACAATACCATGTGCGTCAGACATTAAATGGATTTTGCACATCACATGTATATATACATAGTATCTCCCTCTCTCTTTCTTTCTCTCCTCCATCTCAGGGAGATCAGCAGTCAATATACACATATAAATACATAATAATAATAATCTAGAAATATCTAGAATCTATCTATCTATCTGTCTGTCTATCGATCTATCGATCGATCTATCTATCTATCTATCTATCTATGCATTGACAATAATAATAAATAAATAAATAACTAAATAAATAAATATAAATAAATATAAATAAATATAAATAAATAAATATATATATATATATAATGTTGATCATTTGATTCTCGTAGGCACTTTTGATCACTTTTGCATACTTTTGCAGATATATCATGATATATCCCCTTCACAGACCCCAACCAAACAGCTTTGGAGTGTGATCTGGCAACGTCCTGGCCAAGAGGCTCCCGCTCCTCTTCTTGTCCATCCTGGTGTGGGAGCAGCGGTGGGATTTCCTTGTTGAAAACGTATGAACTGGTGGCCAGTCACATGTTGGAACCAGTTGAGTTATGTAAACGTAAGAGTTGACATCTCACAATCTGACATCATCATACACAATTAAAGAAACCCGAAAGCAAGATGACTCCTTTTACATCATTTTACCAATCGTTGGAGTGACAATCCACAAGTTCCCGCGGGTAAAAACTGAGTCACTGGGATTTTCTGGGAATTACTCCTATACTTGGAGCATCCATGGTATGGTATGGTGTAGGGAGCAAAAACTTGAAGAAAAAAGGCTCGATCAACGGCCCTGACCTGCAACCTTTGGTTCACCATGTTCAATGTTGACATCACATTTGAATACATTTGATTGAATGGCTTTAAGCCATGGAAAAAAGATGAAAAAATGACCAAAATCCTCCCGTTGAGACGGATTTTTGCATCTATGGAGTCGGCTCCTCTTGGCGCTCAGGTTTTCTCTCCTCGCTGTCATCTTTGCGCTTCTCGTTCTTCTCCTCCTCGTCGCTCTCCTTCTCGTCCTTCCGGGAGATCCCAGAATCCAGGCCAAAGAGCATGAATAGTCTGCGCAGTGAGCTAAAACTAACACACCAATATATGTGCTCAACATATTTCAACAATATAAATATAAATAAATATGTATATATATATACATAGCCACTTGCCTACATGTCAAGAAACATAGAATAGAAACGAGCCACATATCGAAGTCCTTTTCAGGCTTTTTCTCTTCCTTGCGTCCTTCATCTTCACTGGGGGCACGTTGCCTTTTGGGCTCATCATCGTCATCGCTCTTCTCTCGAGACTTCTCTCGTGACTTCTCTCGTGACTTCTCTCGAGACTTCTCTCGAGACTTCTCGCGAGATTTCTCTCGCTTCTTCCGGCGATCGTCATCGCGACGCCGACGGTCGTCTTCCTGGAAAAGAATGAAGGCAGAATGAAGGCAGAACAAAAACAAACAGTGAATTTCCAGCACATAATTTTGGACCAATTGGAAACCTCGCTCCTCCCGGCGTCGATCATCTCCCCTCCCCCTTCGGTCATCGTCGCGCCGCCGATCATCATCCCGCCGCCGGTCGTCCCGGCGTCGATCGCCGCGGTCCCGGTCGTCCCGCCGATCATCGCGGCGATCGTCGCGGCGATCATCGCGCCGATCATCGCGGCGGTCGCAGTCGCGGCGGTCCCGGTCCCGCCGGTCATCGCGGTCCTTGTCGCGGTCACCGTCGCGGTCCCGGTCGCGGTCCCCGTCCCGGTCCCGGCGACCACGGCGGGGAGAGTCATCTTGTCGGCGACCACCTCTTCGATCATCCTGTGCAATGGGAATTATTGGGAAAAACATCACATGATTTCATGGTACTGATTTGACAGGATGTTGCCACAATATTCCCAAATGATGTGATAGCATCCGTCCTGTACTCAGTACGAGTGGTCCCAACTGTATCCAGGGGGGGTCCCTCTCCAGATTTTGTAGACATAAAACTGTACAAATCCTAGAAAACTGGAGGATCCCCTGATTCCATGTCGGGGGGGTTGGGGGGCCCCCCAAGCCACTGTTCCGGCCTCTTTGCGACCACCTCAGGCGGCGATGGCTAGGTGGCCCGGTGGAGTTATATAGGGCTTTCTCAACAGGACCAAGGGTTAATCTGGCTTTATCATGGTGAATAATGGTGAATGATGATGATCAATAGAGGTCAACAATGGTGAATGATGATTAATCATTACTGGTTAATCATGGTTAATAACGCTTAATATATCATATATCTGAATAGTGGTTCCTGGCTATCAACAGTTGGCGGGTTCCCAAAATAATGGTTCCCCAAGTTATCATCCAGGTGCTCGGTCATCCCGGATGACCTGGGCCATCCTGGGCCCCAGCTGGGTTGCCCCACGTCGCTCCTCTCGGTCGCCCCTGTCCCTGTCACCCTCCTCCTCTCGGTCCTTTCGGCGAGACTTCTTGGGCCTCGATGCAGGGCCCAAGAATTGGGTGCCACCAATGAGATTGGTGAAGGGAAAAAAACACAGCCATGCGTAGTGAGCCATCATTACTCCCAAATCTTGGTGCCACATGATGTCACAATTTATGGCTAAGTTGGTTTAGTTCACCAGATTATATAACTGTTGGGTTCATGGTGATAGCGATGTTCGGGGGTACCACCTTGCGTAATCATTTTGTAGGGCATTCTCAGGAAGGGATTCATATACACCTTTAGAGCTCAAATGTATCCTCACATGTCACATATCGTTTTTTTTTGATTTCTTTGGGGAAGTGCAGCTTCATTCGCCATGCATGGACGATCTGGGTAGCAATCGGCCTGCAGAAATTTGGTTGGACCGGACTGGGGATCTGTTCATGTTGTGTTCCTACATACTTGGGTGGCTTATGGTTGGGGGACGAGGTACCGGTATGTACAACATCATCAATATCTTGATGATTCTTGATGATTCTTCACGTTTCTTGATGGCTTTCTCCATGACGCCAATGTCAGTCGAATCGAGGGTGCTTCATTTTTTTTTTGGGCCATCCATGGCTGGCAGCCTCAAAGCCACAGATTTGGACAACCTGCGTTTTTTGGGCCAGATGGGGGGGAAAACATGTCAAAACTAGATCAACCAAAAGCAACAAGAACTGATATTCTTGAAGGATATTCGCCATAAAGGGGGGGGGTCAAAACCTCACGTACACCGAAGAAACTCAACCTGTTGATCATAATTCATTCATCTCCTAATTTTTGGCTGATGAAAATCCACTTTCTTCTTGGTGAAACCTGAAACCCCCTGACCCCCAGCTCCATTTTGAAGGGGGTCATTCCCAGCCATGAGCTTGACAAGCGACTCCTCCTCATCCTGCTGATGGAAGGAATGGGTCTGCTGTTAGCTACGGGTATTTCAAGTTTAAACTTGGAGAACACTTTTCCAACATGTCAGAAATGTCAGTAAGAAAAACTTGATTCTATTTTGCAGGTTCTAAACCTTGTTCAGTCCATTTTGGTGGCTTGGACATGTTTTGACAAGCCTTTAACATGTCTTAAGCTAGTCTTTGATGGTTTCTTCACCCGCTTTGCTTATCAGGCACTCCTCAAGCTGGATGACTGGTGCTGAAAGCAACCAAAATCGCTCATATGATTGCTGGTTGAGACACCCCTTGAAAAACATGCGGCCGTCAGCTGGAATGATCACCCCTGTTGCTGAAACACATCATTTTTCACAAAGCTCGGACGCGTTTGAGTGTTCAAAATTCAGTCGCAATCAAACAGAAAACTGCTGAGGCTTGAACATCAAAAAATGCATCAAACCGCCTTTGGACGCTTCAACCGCTTCCACGGGCGTCCTCTGAACGCTCCTCTCGCTGGCGCCGGGAACCACGACCCTTCTCCTCCTGAAGCGGGCTGTGCATCTTTCTATTAAACAGCACCTAAAATGAGATGGGATGCCATGAACTTTTTAATGGATGACTTGAATGTGTCTATTATCAAAAAACAATTGCCCGTTTTTTGAACAAACTGGACTAAACCACGCGTGCCATGAGTCATGACATATCATGGAAGTAAAAGGGGATGGAAGAATGGCACCTAGATATGTTTGTTGGCTTGCCATCCATCTAACAACAATATTCTTATTATTAAATTATCATGATGATTATTATTAGATCCACAAACCCAATAGTGAATCTAGTGAAAAAAACAACTTAACTATGGGGCACCACCTTGCAGGAATAGTGCAAACACGTATATTTGATTGTAAACCTCTATTTTGGCGTGCCCTAATTTAGGGACACACCCATAAATCCAGAAATGCCATTCATATTGGCTCAGAGCAGGCTTGGATGTTTGTCGGCAGCTATGGCAAAAATTGATGCCCTGCTACCTCGTCCCCAACATTCCCCGAAAATTCATCCATCGAGCCATCACATCTGTCCTTGCGTGGTGGTGGGCTAGTGCTATCTTTTCGCTCACGCCTCTCCTGATAGCACGAAACTGCAAACCGTGCATCCGTGTGGGAACAAGTCAGCTATTGGGTCCCAAACGGCCCGCGCCTTCAATTTTTTGCTGAAACGCGCAAGTCACTGAAACCCTTTGTCCCAGTGTTTCAATTGGTGGAACAATATGCAACAATAATCATGCCCAACATCTGTTGGTTGGAGCGTAAAATCGTACAATTAGGAAGCATGTATTGAATCAAGTTATTTATATATAATGTGCATACAAACATACAGAGTTTCAAGATAATCATATATATATATTAGCAATTTTCACGTTTTCCCCTGTGGATCCTGTGGGAACTCCTATTCCTGGAAGCCTTGCGCTCCACTGAAAATCAAACAGCCACATCGTTTTTCTGTGTTGGGCGCCTTCAAGGTACAGGATGAAAAGGGAACATGGGAAATTCAAAAGATGGGAAAGCAAAGAGGCTACTTTGACTGACAAACAGCGGCAAACCAGAAGCACCAAGATGAAAGTGGAGAGATACACTAACTTTTCAAGAAATCCAAAATGGTGGGGCAGCAGTGGGGCCTATTTCAAAAAAAGTTCCTAATGTGTGTGGTAGTGTATGTCTTTCGTTTTAAAGTGTTGAAAAGGACTGGCATCTGCACAAGGTCCAGGAAACACTGTCGCCTGTGGTAAATTGCGGTGTTGGCAAGGCACTCGCAAATTTAATTTGGCAGACTGGCAAACAGCAAGCTTAACAAAGCACCCTGCACACACCCAGCGCAAGGCGCAAGCCATTTCTTCAAACAAAGAAACCATCACAACAAGACTGGATTTTCCATTCAAAAGTGCGCTCACACACTTCAGATTAAATCAGGAATGCTATGGTGACGGCGGTCTCTCTGCGAAGCAGCTTCAAGGAATCCAAACAAGAACAACAATAACAACAAAAAGATTCAAACTCAAGGTCAAGTTGTCTCTGGGTGGACTTGAATGAGATCCCATCCAAGCTGCGGGCACAAAATGCCAGCAGTGAGTATCAAATCAAATTGCAGCAAAGTTGGTCGAAACAATAGTGGGTGAACGGCGAACCAAAATCTTCGAGCTGAACACGATGCCCGATTTTTTCTGAGCCAAACTGTGCTAGGTTTTCCCAGCGATAAAAGTTTATGAGCCCAAAAGCTCTCAGCTCGACAATTCAGTCTTGCCAAGCACTTCGACCCGAAGCCCGCCGAAGCCCTGACTGCATTGCAGTCATGGCAGAAAACCCGAAAAAAAAGAGAAAACGCCAGGGCCAGTCTACTTCAACTTCTCCAGGATTTGCTCCATCCGAGTGACGGACTTGCCACCACCACCCTTCACAATCTTCACGGCCGTGCTGTACGCCTCAGCAGATCCTTTCAAGAAGACAGACTTGCGGAAGCCATAGATCAAAGTGCAATCGGAAGAAACTTCTACCGTCACCCATCCTGTCGGAACAAAAAGGATGTCATGCTTCTTGAGAATGCACTGCGACATGTTGGCCCCACGCTTGCATAACTCAATGATCTTGTTCTCATCCGCTTCTTTGAATTTTTCAAACAGGTCCTCAGGGCTGAGACCGTCAGATCCATCCCCAAGGGACTCCTGGAAGGCTTTCACAAATGACTGCCACTCCAGAAGAAGATGGCGAACCTCCCCAACTGCAAGTACTTTGATAAGACCTGCATGGTTGGTGTTGAACCCCACATGTTTCATCTCAGCACTACATCCAAAAAGCCAGGCAGCTTCCATGAAGGCTGACCCGCCCTTCACCTCTGAAATGTCAACCTTGCGGTCATCTCCGATCCATAAGTCGAACAAAGCGTTGACCTCGTTCAAACCAGTCTTGGCATCAAGTGGGTAGGTCACGTGATGCAACTTTGCCTGTGCCATACTCTTTTTGTACTGCCCTCCCCATGATGTCAAAGACCGGGACAAAGCAGTTCCACCAATGCATTCCTTCACAGCCTCAGACTTCTCGGTATTGACCATGATCCATGGAGATGCCCAATCACCATCTTTCAGTGATTCGGGATCGTCAATTGCATTGACTTTCGGAGCAGCCTGTTCATCCCAGGTAGCTGTAAAGAGGGCTGGACACACTTTCTCATGCTGAGTCTTGCGTTTCTTGATGGCATCAGCCGCAGTTTTGGCCTCTTCTCTGATCTTCTGCAGCTGAGCCTTTGCGTCATCCTCGGCCTTTCTTTTCTTCTCCCGGGCAGCTTCAGCCACCTTCACCTTCATATGTTTCACCAAGTCATCCGCAGATTGCTTGATGCCCTTTGTAAAAGTTTGCATGCACACCTGGGCGTTTGCCCATTGCTTCTTCAACTCAAGAAAGGCTCCCACTTCATGTGTTTCCAGAATCTTCTCCACAAGGCTCTCAAGCACAGCCAAGGGTACAAGGGCCGTCTGCTCACCATCCCAAAACTTCTGCTGCGTTGTCCTGCTTTCCTTGAGAAAGTCTTCAAAGGACAGCTTCTTTCTAGCATCCACTGCTTCCTTCACCTTCGTTTTCTGTGCATCTGTCATACCATCAGTCCAAGCGCAGCTTGACTCATCGGCACCCGCAGACCCGGCAGCTGAGTCTCCAGAACACAGCGAGTTGTCTGGGACCAGCTGCACGATTCTCTGGAGAGCCCAAGCATCGATGTCCCGCTTCAAATCTAAATTGGAACACACGACAGAATGCAAGCAAGGCACGGTCAGTAGTTTTCAACTCATTTGGGTGAGCACGCCAAGCAACGCTGGCTGCCACCCCTGCCTGCATGACCTTTGACAACTCGGCTTTCATTTTTCGGAGCCCGGCGTCTGCAGATCTGTGAAACATAGGTCTTTCCCTGGTCATGTTGACCGATTTCTCTGGGGTTTCCAACTTGTCTTCAACCTCAGGTTTCACATTCCCAGGGCCCTCAGCAAGAGCTGCACCTTTGACCGGCGTTCGCATTGCCACATCAACATGTTGATCAGAACTGATCTGGAAATGGTCATCACGGAAGCCCAAGTCTTGGCGACGCAGGTGGTCCTGGCAACGGTGCAGAAAAGAACTCTATCAACAAATCAGTTGATAAAGAAAAATGAACTTAAACACAGTGACCAAACAACTGACACATAAGTTACCCCCACAACTGCCCCCAACTATGTCCTTCAAGATCCGACGGTCTTCCAGAGACGGTGCCTTCATCACATCTGATCCTTCCGTAACTCTATTGTCCACGTAGTGCTCTCTCTCTCTTGTTTTGATTTCATGCGCCGGGATCCACAAGCGCAAAGCTCCATGAAACCCTTTGCTGTCCCGTTCAGCCTGGGGATCACTGTCATAATCCCTCCACAACTCAGCAGCTTCCGACTCAGACAAGCCCCAAACATTCTCACAATGTTTGTAAAAGGCCCGTTCTGTCATCGGGACATCACCGCTTGTGTCACGTTTGCCAACCCTTTGCCCAACGATCCGCAAGAACTGAGCGAAGTCCACCAAGCCTTTCTTTTTCATCTCAGGAGGGTTGTCCCGAGCGAAGGCTTCCACTGCACGGCCTGCAGCCATATCATCTTTCATGGCCTCATCGAACGCGCTTCGCTCTTTCTCCGTGAGGCTCTTGCGGCTTCTTCTTTGATACACCATATTGTCCCAGGCTTTTTTATGATCGTTTGTTGCACAGAAGCGGCTCCCTGGGTATTTTGGGAATGGGCAGCCAGGGCAGATGCAGCTGGTGACAGGCTCTCTTTTCTTGCCTGCCCCACCTGCCTTCGACTTTGCCTTGGCCTTTCCCCTACCTCTGCCCTTGCCTCTTGACGCTGCTTTGGCTTTGGCCTTAGGGGCCATCTGATTGAACTCATCACCCCAATCCTCAGCTTCCTGCTCACCCTCACTGCCATCGTCAGCAGGAGGCTCAGCATTCTGAGGTGGATCTGATTTCTCTGCCGGCGTGTCCATGATGGCGCAAACGCACTGAAGCAGCAAAACACCTACGAGGGGTATGAATGAACCAGCTCACTGGTGATGCAAGCATTCAATAAATCAAACCAGCAAGGCGGAACCAGAGGAGCTTGGAGATCAATCTGAATCAATCTGAATCTGAATGCACGAGCTTTCGGAAGCCATTTCATTTTGGATCGTTTGGAAAGGGGCCCTGCGAGACAACAAACTCTCAAATAAAATCCACGTGCAGCACGGCACTTGACACTGAAACATGCAACTGCAAACTGCAACAATGCTGCAACAACTTAATCTTGTTTTTATCATGCATGCCTATCCAATGTCCAAAAGCAGTTCAAGGTTCACATGAAGAAATCTGAAATCCGAATCCTGCTGGGAAACCACGCCTCTTTTTTCCTCACTTGCAACTGTCTGATAGCTAGTCGCGTACAGGTCGCAGCTGCCTTTCAAACCCAAACTGAAGCCTTCAAAGTCTCCAGCACAATGATTGCTGGACTGGACGCAACCAAAGAGTCACAGTTGGATGGTCCCAACCTCATGGGTGCCAAACAAAATCTAAATAGAAACTGCAAGCTACCCCCACGCTGCAACGCATATGGGTCCAACGGATTTCCCCCAATCCAAGGGACTCTCCTACTCACAGCGTTTTTGCCTTACTCAAAGTCTACAATCGGCCCACACCTACGAAGCTTCTTTTTGTCCTGCTCTGGGACTGGCTCCTCATTTTCCTCTTCAGACCCATCACACAACCACTGCATAAAATCGAAATCATCATCATCATCACAGACGCGAGTAGTAGCAGAACTACCACCATCGCCGTCAGACTCCGAGGAAGATGAACTTGAATCCCCTGGTTCCACCCTGCGGTATCCCGGACCAGGCGCAGGGGGCAAACCATCGTACAAGCGGGGACCTCCAGCTGGGGCCACAGCTGGGTCCACATCCCCCACTTCCTCTTCCTCTTGATCGCCAGCATCAGCAGCAGCTGGGCCTGGCAAAGCCTTCGCAGCAGCACGGCGAGGTGGCGGAGGCGCCAACCAATACAGATCAACGCCATGGTTGCACGCCTGTGCCCAACAGTGACAAATGTCATCCACTCCCTTGAAACGGAAAGTCTTTTGCCGGTTGGGGTGCTCAGTGAGCATGACACCCCTGAGATCAACCCTCACTGACACGGTCCCTTCGGTCTGTGGGACGATCACTTTGTAGCTATGCTGCCCGGTTGGGGCGAAATCAGGCAAAGCAGCTTTGTCCAACATGTCAAGCAGGGGGTAATACATGCGGAGAAGATTTCCATACCTGGGGACAAAACGTTCAGCTGATGGATCCTTCTTGTTCTTGCTCTTGTTGCTTGGATCCTCAGACTGTGCTGATGGAGGATCCGCCTGGCCTGCCTCAGGGTTTCAGCACACGGCATGGGAATTTCCACAAACAAACGTCTCACAAGTCAAAACTCAAACTTGAATGATCTTCAATTACCCAAGCTATACAAGATTTTAAGGAAGGAAAAGATAGAGGACTCAAGATGTTCAGTCTTCAGTTTCCAAGTCTGGCTTTTAAACATGTCTTGATTCTTCCAGGGCACGGAGGGAGCTGCATCTGGCACAGCTGGCACACGCTCACCCCGCTGGGAAACATCAATCTGTTTCGACATCACAAGAATGGCTCCACCGGAAAAGTAAATCACGCCGAGGAGTCTCAGAAAGGCTGAGCAGCAAAATTGCGGAATCACGTCCATCCATCTTTTGGCAAACCGCCGATGTCAATGATATCATAACATAATATGACAAGGATGGAAGTGTTTGACTCAAACTGTTTGACATATTCAAGGGAAGGTTGCAACACAACGTGACTATAAATTGTCATGCAAAGTCATCATCATAATCATCACACACAAAGCATTGCAAATCTACAGAAACATGATCCCTTAAGAACGTGGACGCAAGATATTTGATGTCAACCAGCCACAAAATCGATCCCTCTAGCCTCTAACTTTTTTCCATCCCAGCATTGGTACTGGGCAAAAACATCTAGCTAAGCAACTGCGCGAACCGCAGAATTAAACATCCCGTCAAGCAGAGCCCTCTTCTTCATCTCCATCCTGCGATTCTGATGGAGACGGCTGCCTAGTCACATACCTGGGCTCCAACCGGGCTGTATTGCAAAAGACATAAAGCTGCCAAGCCAAGATTGCCGGGACTGATTGGCAATTTCCAGTCAACCCTTGCAACTCCCTGTCAGACGCCGACAAGACATACCTGGCTAAAGGCCATTCAAACCTGTGGTTCAATGTCTTGCTCATTTGAAACCCCAAAGCGAGAAAACGGTCCAGGTTCATCGCAAACTTCCCGGTGTTCATGTCAAGGATGGTTCCATGCCTCAAAAGCACTGGAAACATTGGTCCAAAATCTGGCCCTGGGCTGTTTGGCCAATGGTCAAGATCGCAAATGAATGTCCCGTCCAAAGCTTGGTGTTCTGCCCTGAGCTTGCCATAGGCTTCTAAGCGTTGAAGCTGGCCTGGGGTAAGAATCTTCCTCATCAGCTTCTCACCCTCTGGCAATTTTGAACCAAAGAAACATCTCTGCTTCAGCTTGCGTTCATACCATTCAGCCCGCTCTGCGTCATCCTCCTGGAAGAAAACACTACCAGTGAGCATGCAGGACCTTGCAAACACAGCCTCGAAGTCTTGCTTCACAGCATCGGCCCCTGTGGGCCCAAGCCATACAAGACTGTTGGAAGATAAGCCAGCTGACAAGAGACGGTTACGAGAAGTTGGCCATCCCAAGGTGGAAGGCCCAACGGTTGTATGAACTACCGTATGGGAATCTTCCAAGGGTTTCACCAAACAGCCTTCCACATCCCAAAGTTCTGTGCATTCCTGGAAGAACATGTCTTCTTCCGATCTCAGTGCCAACTCACGGCGTTGAGCCAGCCAAGAATTCCAAGCATGCTGACTGCTGTGCGCTTTCCTTGCCCTCTTTCCCTCTGAGCTCCATCCCTGGCAGCAGTTGCCGGCATTACCAACGATCAGCGACCCGCTGAAAATGCCTTGGGGGCGGTTGCACAGGTTGAGATCCGTCCGAGGTCTGTTGACAACACAGTTGGTGCCGTGCTTCAAGCAAAAATCTGCATGCTCCTGCATCAGATGAGGGCAGCCCACAAACTCTCAACTGTCCCCCTGGGAAAAGTTCTGAGCACAGGAAATGCTGGAGTTATGGGGACCACAGTTTGACATGAAAGTTTGGGTTCTCAAATGTTTCAACTTAAATCGGGACAAGGTGCAATCTCTTTGAGTGAAATAGTTTGTAATTTGAAATTCCCGAAAACCTTTCCAAGTGTCACGTGATGTAATGTATAATGTATGTGATTTGGGAAACCGAAAAACCTGTACAACTCCAAATCTCAACCTTGTGAAGCATGGACTGGGACCACGCAAAAACATCAAGCCATAGGCAGCAGTCCTGGTCAACTGCACAATGCCCATTCTCCAGCAGAAAGTCTGCCATTGCTTGGTATGCGTCCTCCTTAGCCTTGATGGAATCCTCAGGCTTGGGACTGGCAGCTAAGCACCATTCCTGTGCTTCAGGGTGAAGCTGGGCCCTGATATCAGCGAAAACACAAGATTCGCCAGCATCAAGTACCTCAGACATGTGAAGTAGCACGCGTTGTGAACTTGGATCTATGTCACATGTCTTTCTCACCATGTGCGGCACATGGATTCCCTTGCATTGGCCCAGAGCCATGAAAAGCAAGCGCTTGGCTTCCCTTTCTGCAAAGATCCCTGAATAGTCGCTGTGCTCCACAACGCCCCAGCGGAGCAAATCAACACACCGATCCTGCCATTCAGGCTTCGAGAATGCGGCCTGAACTAGTTGCTCAGGGTAGTTGAATAATTCCTTGACAGATTGTGGCCCTTGTGGCAGCCGCATCTTTGCCAGAACATCCAAAACCGATCCTTTCTTCCATCTCTTTCTTTTGGCATTTGTCTCACTATCTGGATTCAGAGGGTCCGTGAACCAATCTTCGTCTGGATTGTATGTCCGGCTCTGTCGCCCCGCCATGGCCACATGGGTGAGAAGTGAGAAACGTCTGACTCTGAGAATGAGAGACTTGTAGGAATGAGTAAGTATGGAACTTCAAACTCTCAAATCCTGTTTTTTCCATAACATGATGGAAAGGTGGCATAAACCCAATTCCTAGCACAGTTAACCTAAGCTTGAAACGCTTTCCCTCACTGGCAAACAAATGTTTAAGCAACCTGTTCCTCTGAGCACAAATGGCCTTTTTAAGCTAATTTTGCCTGGAACCACAAATCAGCGCAGCCAAACATTGAAAACTTCAAGGGCAAGAAACCTGCGCCTGCTTGTGGCTGAAGCAAGCAATTCTTTGCCAAGCTTGCCACTACAGATCTCAAAAGCGCACTAAAACAACCACGCACGAAACCGCACGAAATGCACGAAATTTGGCCCGTCACAGGCTCGAATAGAACTTAGCAAAAACCATGCAAAAGGCTATGCACACAACAAAACATTCAAGCGTTTGTGAGCAACCCAACGCTAAATTCGAAGATTGAACATAGGAAAAACCTCTAATTTTTTCGCACGCGATGGAGCCCAGAATCAGCGCACGAAAGCGCACAAAATTGAAAGGGTTCAAATCAGTCAATTTTGCAATTTTTTATCAAAAACCAACCCTTTCCCTTTAAAGTAGTCTACAGAATCCATCCCTGGCGAAGGATCTCCAAAAAGGAGCAAAATGCTACCAAAATGGATTGCTAGAAGAATTGCTTGAAAATTGGACTTGCGCACAGCTTTTCCTTGCGCAGACAGTTTTTGCTCCAGAAGCCCTAAGTTCCCACGGCAGAAGCCTAGCGCACGAAAACCAGCTGTGATTTAGAGACAAATTTCATGTCCTGGCTATGTTTTTGCCATATGGATGGCAACTCCAAAAGTTTCAAAACATGTAGAGGCATACTGCCGTGGAAACAACAAAAGCTTTGCAGTTGCACATGAACCAATGAAAGCAGCTAGCACGAATCAGGAAGCTGCGCTATTCAAATCAGCTTCAGCAGGAAGGGTTCCAGATCTCCACGCAGGAATCACGTCAGAGTCCCACATGGCCCAGTGATCAGTAGCATTGTCACAATTGCATCCCAAACTTGCCCAATACTTCAAACACAGGAGGACAGTGTCAGCACCACCAAATGTCACAGCACGCTTCTTGGTGCATGCCCGTTCCACATTGTGAGAAGCCTTGGCACATCGAATCTGATAATTCTTTGGATCTTCACCTGGAGGACCCACAGGCGTGATCAGGTGATCACCCCAATAAAAAGATCGGTCTGTCACTTTGGGCCCTTTCACCTTTGGAGCTGGCTTCGCCTTTGCTTTCACAGCCGCCTTTGGCACTGCTGATCCAGCTGGCCCTGGCTGACTTGAGCTCGAGCTTGAGCTCGAGTTGCTAGAGGTCGAACTTGAATCCGAATTTGAACTTGACTCAGAGTCAGAGCCACCCGAACCCTCATCATTTGACTTGTCCAAACCAGCCACCTCAGAGGGTGGTGGTGGTTCAGATGGAGGAGGAAGAGGAGGTTCAGCCTGAGAAGCGACAGGCTCTGCCACTGCCACCGAGCCGGGCCGTGTTTCTGGGCAGCCCTCAGCGTCACTCCCAGAGCCGGCTGCATCACTGGACGAAGCAAGAGAACCAACCCCGGAAAGCACAGCATCGATTTCCATCTCACTACCCCCAGCCTCAGCATCATCATGCCCTGAAACAACTGGGCCAGTATCTAACTTTGCTTTCTTGGTGGTGGTGGGTTTCCTGCCTTCGCTCTTTCGTTTTGGTTTTTCTGGTTTTTCGCTGGGCCACACCTCATCTGAAAGATGGCCAAACTTCAATCTTTGCTGTCTAGGCCGTTTCGTTTGGACCTCACCATCTTGGAGCCCCAAAACCTTTTTGTAGTAGTCGTCAGACTGTCCATAAAGCATCTCTTGGATCCGGCCTGGAGAGCCGTCATGAACACACATCTCAACCAAACCGAGCAAATAGAAGTGGCTCACAGTGCAGCGACCCTCATGTGTGTACCAAGTTTTGGCATCCTTTTTGCCTGACCGGATGTCCTCGCCCACGTGCTTGAACTTTTCCCTCTTGAGTTGCTTGTGCTTCTTCGCCGTCACCACTTCGTGTGACATGCCATGAGAATCCAATTCCAAGACTAACTGGAAAGTAGATGCTTCGTGCATTGGGCCATGATGTCTTCCCAGAAGTGGCTTTCCTGAATGCAAGATGACGCACTGCTTGAGTCGCTGATGGGCTAAATCAGTCAGCCGCCAAGGTGGCCCAGCAACAAGCCCTGCTTCAGACAAGTCACCTAACGCATCAACCACATCTTTTTTCATATCAAGAGTGACAGCTAAGCCATCAGGATATTTCATCAAGAAGCGCACAGCTTCCAAGACAGCCCAACGCTTGTTCTGTGGCAGGGTTGACATGAACTGGTTGTCAAACCGGTGAAGAATTGCATCATCCTTGGCCACCCACTGATGCATGCGCAGAAGCTCAGACAAACTGAGCTGGTTGACATGCAGTGCAAGCGGTGAACTTGCACAGTCATCACCTCCCAGATCTGCAGCTGCAATCGAAACAGTGATCTCCTTCTTTTTAGGATCTATGCCCAGAATGCTGTGCAGCTGGACCAACCACATTCCTGTCATAGCTGCCTCTCCCTCCACATGAGTCCTGCGAAAGCGGCTGGGATTTAAGTGCAAAGCAGAAGCCATCACAAACTCACGTGCTAAGGCGTCACCGGCACCATCCAACAAGTCTGCCAAGGAAGCCAGCAAACCTAAATCGTTTATTCTCTCCGATATCACCAAGGCTTCAGAGCCAGACGCAGGTTCCCACTCTAGTGATCCACCTCTATGGGCTGAGGAAGCAACAGGAGCTAGCAGAGACTGCAACGATCGGACCATGGCTTTGTTGAACTTCATGCTGAAAAACATCTTGGCAGAAACTGCTTTGCGGATATCTTGCAAAGCTAGGGATCGGCGCAAGTCCACACTGCCCTGCTGCAAATCATCTTCCAAAGGTAAAGGTTCTACCACAATCTCCCTTGCCTTCACCACCTTTTTCTGGACATGTCTCGGTACTTCTAACGAATATTTGCAAAAAGGATCATCATGGTAAATAACCCCGAAACCCACGCTTTTCTTTTGGAATGTCTTCGGGCTGACCCACCCACACTTTCCAAGCAAGTCCTTTGAAAACCCCAACTTCTGAGCAGCAGCACGACCATTCGGTACACCATCCATGAGATCGGCTATCTGGGTAGCGGACTCTGGATGAGCACGAAGGTGCGCTCTGATCTCAGGCAATCGATGGGACAAACTTGTGTAAGCAGCACTATGGTGGGGCGCACGCTGAGAAGCTCTCTTTGTGCGGGCATGCTGCCCTTCCACCCTCCACGCTGATGTAAACATCAACCGCATTTCACCAGCAAGCATCTTCAGAGGCTCTAGTACCCAAGTGTCCAGCCACACGCCTCCTGCTTCCAAAAACTCATGAACAGCGTCCATGTTCTGCTTCACCGTTTGTATTTTTGGATGGTCAGAATTTGACTCCACGCACTTACGTAAACACTCACTGCGAACCCTTGGGTCCCAATGGGCAAGACCGGCCAATGCATGTGGAGGTTGAGCCCAAAAGCTCAGTTTCAAAACATATGTGGAAATCAAATGCCGCCTGCACATTTCAAAGTCTTTCATCAACTGCAAGACTTGGTCTTTTGCCAAGCCCCTGGGCAACTTGAGCTCCAAAGCTGTTGCGCTGCTTCGGAACAGGGATTCCAACAAGTCAAAAAAATTTCCCGCAGCAAGCTCAGCACACCGCCGTCCCCGAAGGGGGCAGCTTTCACACATTGCCTTTACATCTGCGCTGTCTGTGGCTTGAAGCAACCCATCATGGCACGGGCAGCCATTCACAAAGCGAACAGCTTGGCGTTGGACAACTGCCACTTGCAGCAACACTTTGATTGAACCCCAAAAGACATCAGAACACAAAGCATCATCTACAGCCTTCAAGTTGACCCCGAACTCCTCAGAGTCTCCACCTGGCCTGTGAACTGGAGCCTCCCCTTCACCCCCTGCAGTAGCAGCATCCCCCTTCCCAATAAATAGTGCCAAATTCCAGTGATTTCTCAACGCTGGCTCCAAGTTGTTGATCTCTTCTATGGCACTAGCTATCGTGTTCCATCGCTTTTCATGAACAGTGATGTTGAAAGATTTGATTTCTTCAGCAAATGCGATGGAAGGCCCTGCCTGGAAACATGTTTTGATCAATTGCTGCTTGCTCTCCCGGCCAGCCAAAAGTGAACAAATGGACTTGAGGGCTGCTATTGTTGGGGCATAGCAGTCCACAACATCTTCCAAATAGTTGGTGGCATTATGAATGATATGCATCATGTCGGGCCCTTCAAGGCATGAATCAAAAGATACCACGCCCTCATCAACATCCTGGCACAACTCCACATCAACAAAAGCATCGTCAACGTCATGGGCGGGAAACTCCTCAGCAAACATCTCAGAATCTCCCTTCCCAGTTTCCTCTTCTCCAGCATGCATGTATGGTAAAAAAAGGTCCAGCGTGCAGTCTGAAATCCGGCTGATCCCCTTTTCAGTCCCATAGTCGGTGTGCAGACTTACAACAGAGTCACAGAGTTCACACAACGCACTGCGTGAAGAGCAAAGGAGAGCAAGCGTGTGCAAAAAGACCCTTGTTTTTGCCGGGAGATTTGTGCGTGAATGAGCCAGCATGATGATGGGGGCAACATGCCAAACAATACGGTCTGCAATTCTCTTCATGCACGCCTGATCAGCTTCAAAACATCCAGTTTGCAGCCTCTCCTCCCAATCTTGGGACATATAGTTGTCCAGCTCAAGGATTTCCTGCAGCAGGAACGTGGCCAAAAAACACAACCTATAGGCTGAAGAAGATGAAGAAGAAACTCCGCTTCCGTAAAACATGAAAATGCTTTGCAATGCACCAACGAAATCTCTCATGAGCATCATCTTTGAGGACAATACTACTCAATACAATCCTTAGCTTTGTCCATGACTCTAATAATCATTACTGACCCCAGGAAGTCCATAAAAATTGCATGCCCTCTTGTTATTTTTTTTGAGCTGGTGACTTCGTGGGGACTGTCTTCCAAACCGGCAAATCTGCAACAAAACATGTAACTCTCAAAAGCTGAGACATAGGTCCCCTGATAGCCCAAGACTTGCGCGGGCCCGCGCGGGCCCGAGGGTTTTCAGGTCAGCATTTTATCGTCTATATCTTCTTGCATTCTGTCTGGCATCTGTGTCTAGCAAATCTTTTCCGGTATTTATTCTGGCAATCCAACAAATATTTTCAAATATATTCTGGCATAAACTGACATAGTCGGACCCGCGCGTTCTTTCTGGCATATCTTTTGGCGTGCTATCTGGCATATGTGTCTATCTGGCATAACTTCTGACAATTCAAGGCTGCCATGCTATGGCATCTCTTTTGGAATTCTTTCTGGCATACGTGGCTATTGTGTCTTCTCACTTTCAGTGTGGCATTCTATATCTCACCCAGGCGCTTGTGATCCAGGTCCGGCGGGCACCACTCTGATCCGGGTTTTGCGGTTGAGGTCAGGCGCGGCGAGGAGGACAAGAAGGAGGAGAGGAGTGGCTGACATAGAATCTCACAACCCGGAACATGCAGGTGAAGGGACAACACTAACAAAGTGAAAGAAGCACATGGAAGCACGATACAGGCAGCACAGTCCCTGTCCGCTATGGTGTTTTATTCAATCAAAGGGCATGGTCACGCGGTATGAAGTTCCAAAGATTCAAAAAATGAGTGAACTTAAATCATCTTAACCTCTCCGTGTGGACTGAACCCTTGCCTGTTGCTCCCTCCAAAACTCCAAGTTTCTGTACAATCACAGAAAAGCGATTCATGAGCGCCGTCATGCAAAGTAGAGGTCAGTTCGGGCTCTACAAAATCCCATGGGTCAATCAGACCTTGCATTCACAAAATCCCAGCCTACGCCTACAACGCCATTTTTTCAGTGCACTTTTGGGTGGGATCCTCACAAATTGATGACCCCAGGATGCTGGCACCGCAAGGTTTGTCCAATTGAACCCATTTGAAAAAACTAATATTTCATAATACTTCTCCAGAGGCTATTTTATAATACTCACTGGTCTCGTTTTAGGTATGGGCGCCTCTAAGAGGCCGTGCTTTTTTGAGGTTTTTGGGGTGGGGTGGGGTGGCAGGTAGTTGCAATAACGTTCATGTCTCTTGTGTGCAAGGTGATGCGGCGTGGATGCTGCGCTGATGTTACGTTGATCATACGTTGATTCTACGTTGAGGAGATGTTGATGCTACTGTTGGGGTGGGGTGGGGTGGGGTGGGGTGGGGTGGGGGGGTGCAATATCATTCATGTCTCTTGCGTGCAAATTGATGCGACGTGGATGCTACGTTGATGTTACGTTGATCATACTTTGATGCTACGTTGAGGAGACGTTGATGCTACTGTTGCGGTTGGGTGGGGTGGGGGGGTGCAATAACGTTCATGTATCTTGCGTGCAAGGTGATGCGACGTGGATGATACGCTGATGATACATTGATCATGCGCTGTTGATACGTTGATGCTAGGTTGATGGTACGTGGATGATACGTTGACGTTAGGTTGATCATGCGTTGATGATACGTTGATCATGCGCTGTTGATACGTTGACGTTACGTTGATCATGCGTTGATGATACGTTGATCATGCGCTGTGGATACGTTGATGTTACGTTGATCATGCGTTGATGATACGTTGATGATACTTGGCCGCAAAAGCGGCTGAAACAAAGACGTCGGCAACGCAGAAGAAAACGCGTAACGCTGTCTTTTCCAAGCTGATGGCTTTCGTCCCACAAAAACCATTAAAATCACACCGTGACTCTCATTTTTCCATACCCTTCCATGACTTTTGATACACCCACAAAATATAGATATCTGTGAAAAACCGCTCTCGTTGTGGCAAAACCTTGGAACATAATTGAATAGAAACATATCCATGTGCTGAAACACACGGCCTCTTAGAGGCGCCCTTACCTTTTAGGGTCTAGATCCGTGGGGTTTACATCAGCTACCTTTTTCAGCTAAAGTAGGATGTCTCAAAGCAGCCTCAACTGAGACATCTTGAACACTGTCTAAGGTCAACAATGCCATATCGTGCTTCCAAAAATTGCTCAGAATTGCTCGACATGACCCCAACTTGCCCGACAAAAATGCTCAAAATTGTTTGAAATTTGCTCGAAAAGACCCAAGCTGGTCCACAAAAACGGCTCCAAAATGCTCAAAATTCTTCAAATTTGCTCAGAATGTCTCAAGATGTGCGAATGTTTTCATTACTTTGCATTGCCGTTGCCGGTCTCTAGTGTTGCACGGGCTTAAGGTCACGGTGGACTATAGCCCAAGACTAGCGCGGGCCCGATAGCCCAAGACTAGCGCGGGCCCGCCTTCGCGGGCCTTCGCGGGCCTTTGCGGGCCCGCCGCGGGCTTGCCAGCCCGCGGGCCCGGGCACACGGTGGACCATAGCCAAAGCTGAATGTTTCGGCGTCCAAGCTCAGCCAATTTTTTTGCAAGCACCGATCGCAAAAGTCACCTATACTCAGCGTTGAATTAATCAGGCTTGAAGCCAAGAGCATCCACTTGTGTTCTGTACATCGGACAAAAGCCTCAACTCTCAGGGCAGGAAGTCACCTCTGGTGCTGGAGAAGGCCGGTGATACACATAAGCAAGGCAGTGAGCGGTTGAACCACACCGCGGCTGCCCGAGCTGGGTTCGGAGGAAGGCCAATGGTACTGCTGGTCCTGCTGCATCTGCCAGTTCTGCCAGCTTGCTGCTGGTGCTGGCACTGCTCCTTGGTGCATCCGTTGGTGCCAGTGCATCGACACCATTGCATGAGATGGTGGCTGTGCAGGCTCAGGAGGTGGCAGGTGTCCATGTCGGGTGCTGGGCGGAGACCGAGACCTCTGAGATTGTTGTTTCCAACTACGGTCTTGCCGCTGATCTTGATTGCCTCTCAAGCTGACTTGGTCATCTTCTCTCCTCCGTCCGCTGTGGCGGTCACGGTCATCACGATCTTCAAAGCGCCCACCATTGCCATGATGGTCGCGATTGTCATGATGGTCCTGACGGTCACGATTGTCACGGAGCACTAACCGATCCGCCTTGCAAGAAGGCTTGTGCTGCATCCAACTGAAATGGTTGTTCGCTACCCATTTCCCACATTTTTTGCATTCCTTCCTTGTGTCAGTCTCACCCCTCCGAGTTGCACAACGGACACTGGTCTTCTGGTGTGACTTCCATGCCTCATATCGGTTTTTCAACCATTTGTTGCATATGGGGCAGTTCATGCCCTCTTCATCATCTTTGTTGGAGGGATCCTGCACGTTCTTGGAAGGGACCTTCGAACGTCGATCTCTATCTCTCACATCCTTTGCATTTGGCGCCCTAGCCTCCCTCCGAGACTCTTTCTCCTTTTTCTCCTTCTTCTCATTCTTCTCCTGTTCTGGAGTTGTATCATAGGTGTAAGAGTCGTCATCTCGACCTGGGGAGCGGGAAACAACCTTACCAGTATCAAGCCGCGGCTTGTTGCTGGCAAGCTGAGGCGCCGCAGCATCCTCACGCTCAGAGGACCCACTGCTCAAAGAGACTTTCCTTTTGCCCCTCTCCTCAGCTCTTCTCGGAGAATCTCTGTCCTTTGAAACGGATGGCATGTTGTAGCCACTGTTGCAGGCTCGAGCCAAAGCTGACATGAAGCTGCTGCCAAATTTCAATGCCCCAAACGCATTTTTAAGACCCTGTTTCAGAGGTGATTGGGGCATTGACTGGAAATCAAACACGAAACACTTGAAGAAAAATGCCACCTGTATAAATTACCCCAAATCTTGCACACTGCACGAAGCTGGCAAAAATAATCGAAATTCATTCCTTGGATGCCCATGACAACCCATGAAAACATACATGTCCCAAAGCCCCAAGCAAAAAGCAATCCTGGTGCAAGAGCTTCAGGTCCGCTGCATCCACAAAATTAAGCACCGTCACTTGGTACTCTTGCTTAGCCTGCCAAGTTGCATCAGTTTGAGCAAACACTCTGAGTCCACGACCCCCGCCCTGGCGTAGTCTTTCCATGACCCAACATCTCATTAGAAGTGTCCAAGCCACGTCCAACCTAGCCCTCACCCTTGACACAGTTGCTGCACTTGGCAGTCTCAACGTGCCCCCATCATTTCCATCTATAAAGGAAATTGCCTCAACTCCTATTTCTGGTGGCAACGCTACAAGGCACACATGTCTGAGCATGTCTCTCAATTCCTGGTCATGATGCAATGAGCCGGCCACCCAAAAAAAGTGCAGCAACCTGATCGCGGGATACTTGCGGCGTTTAGTTAAAATGACATCGTGCTGCCGTCTGAAATCGAGCACTTGGAACTGGTCAACCTGCAAAGTTTTGGCGGCAGTCATCAACTGAAGTTGCAAATTCCTCCTGGCTTCTGGGGCCGGAGGCCGGGCATCCTGGAACAACATTGAATGAACTGATTGGAGGAATTCAAGCATGCGTTCTTTACCTTTCACGGAAGATATGTTGAAAAAGTCCTCCTGTGCATTGTTGGAAGCTGTGGCTAACTCATGCGAAGGGAGAAACAAAAAGGAATCCCGTAGTTTCGCCAGATCGTTGGATCTGTCGGCCTTCAAAATGTGTTTCACATGCCAACCTGCTTTCAAATCCATGTTGCTCAACTGCCCTGGGAGAGCTAGCTTGGTCCAACAGCCATTGGCAATGAGAAAAGCAATTGGCTTGGGCACTTTGAGCGCCAGGGTTGGAAGTTTTCCTCCACTGAGATCACGCCAAACGTTCAAGGTAGCTTCATCAACCCCAAGAACATTTGTGGCAAAAAAACGCTGTGCCCAAACATCGTTCATATGAAAAAAACATGTTGACCGCCCTGACTTGGTCTCTGCATCCTTCAAAGAAAGTCGATGCAGAAGTGGCTGTGCCTTCAACACATTGAAATAAAACAAATCTCCGTGCAATGCGCCACCATCACCCAAATTGTTCCATGTGTTGAACTGTGCCTGCATCTCTAACGATAGGGGTAGGAGGGCATGGTGCTCAGCTAGAGGTTCCAGCCAAACCAAGCCTACCACCTCATTTCCTGAAACAAAGCGACTCAGGACGGCACCTTCTTCCAAATCATTGCTTTGTTCATAAGCTTGTAAACTGGATTTTACATATGGATCACCAATGGCCTCTTCATTGATCCATTTGTGTTGCACCCTGTGGCCTGAGCCTGAAACATCTCTTTTGCCATCTCCAAACGAAGACAGCCACACAACTTGCGAAGTCATTGCAAACAGCAGTGGCAACATAGGCATCTGCATTGCAAAAGACGTGCGTGCTTCGTGCTGTGTGTGTCGCGATATGTTCATGTGTTCTAGTTCACTTCAATTTGAACCAGGACTGTTGTGTAAATCAGTGTAAAGCCCGTTTTGGGTGAAAAAAATCCACAGATCCCATATGTTTTTTTTTTAAATGTTGCCAGGTGACAAGAGAAGCTCTGAACTCCAATGTTCTGAGACAAAGCTGAGCTGCAGTTAAAGATCTGAGAAGAAAAAACGTCCCAAACACACACGACTCCTTACTGTGTTGCTCATACATGACTTACAGTTGCGGCCTTCAAAGTTGCCTAAATGCCACATGTTCTGCAGATGAAAGACGCTGGAATCAACACATGTTTGACTCAATCCGCCAGCAAATCCATGTTTCAAATTTTGAAACAACGGATCTGCGCGTGTGTCTTGGAGCAATTTTCAAAAGGAAGGCAAACAAGCAAAATTTGTTTTTTTTTGCAAATCATACGCGGCTATCTTTTCCATTTTTTTTTGTATCACTCGAGCCACATGTCGAAAGACCAGAAGAAAGCGTGAAAATAGCTAATATATATATATTATGACCACACCGCAAATTAGGATCATAAATAAAGTACACATCATAGAATATTTCATATAATGGTTATATACATACGTTTATGTTTATCATTGATGATCATTGCATAATCATACAACTCATATATACCATGATACAAAATATGATGCTATCATGTACCCGCAATGTAACCTCTGGTATGCTATGGACAATCACCATCTTTAACAAGGAAATTAACTATAAATGGGCATAAATGGGCCGTTTTCAATAGCTATATATATATATCATGTATATATGGGGGTTTCCTAAAATGGGGGTGCCCCTGAATCATCAATTTTAATAATAGGATTTTGATGATCGCCCGCCGAAACAATGGGTGATACTGGATATAGGATTTTCCATGGAATAAACCATCCAGCAGTAGTGACCTCAGTTCGCACCATTCTCCCCCCTGCGGAAGGGCTTGCACCAGCTCCTTGTGGTCTCGTGCCTGCAAACGGTCGGATTTCTCTGCATGTTTTTTTTTTTCCCTCCGTTATTTTCACATGGCTGAACATGGCACATATAAGATGATTTGTTTATCAGAAATGGTGATTTTCCATAGCAAACTGTCATTTTTCTAAGTAGAAGGTATATGATTTCTGGAGGATAACATGCAATCTTCTTTTGTCGAACTTTCGAGTCTCCTTGGATGTCTTGGAGAGTTACAGGGCCCGTTGTGCTGACTCAAAGGAAGTGACCGATGACTAGAACAGCCTCCATCTGCGGCTGTTTCTGTGAGTGTATCATGTGAAAATTTACAGTAAATGGAGCGTCAGAAGCATTAATCTGTTCAGGGGATTTTACTTGTTTTTTTTTTAAACATATATTTATTTGTTATTTCAATTTTGAGTGGCCGTCTGTTTCGTTAAGTTAATACAAGTTTTTGACATGTTCCAGCGTAGCGACCACGAATTTGATTCTTGTTGACGCAGTATAGAACACCGTGGAAGATGACGATGTGCGGTATCCGACACGCACGCTCAATGATCTTGGCAACGAAGTTGTCACTCTTACCATCATCCAGTCATTGAGCAGGACTGGGGATGCACTATAAACTGTAGAGATTTCTTCTCAGATCAAGGCCAAGGAACGTTATTGGCCCCCGACCCCACCCCCCATGTGTCTTGGAAAGCAAGTGAGAACGGTGAGAAGATCCCGCGTTCCGTGAGGTACACGAGGTACACGGTACCTTTTAGTGGGATCTGACGTTTCCATCCATTTTGGGGTGCTGTACTCACATGTCAAATATATTCAAAGATTAGTTTCTGTCCAAAGATTTCAGTTTGTTTCAGGACCGGGTACCCAGACAAAATAGGAAACCGATGGAAAACGACATGTGCTTAATCATCATTTCCTCCATGAAGAAAACTATCATCTACTTAAGTCAAGAAGGTTTTTAGACGTATAAAATCGATTAAAATCCATCTCCCCTATTGAGAACCTCCCAACCGAAACCATGGTGGAATGTATGAACCTATTCATGACTTGCGGCACCATATTTCATATGGGCGGTATTCTTCATCTTAATTTGGCTATTGGCTATTGGCTACACACACACACATATATAATATAATACAAATATAATAATATATGTATATATATATATATGATATATATATATATGATATATCTGATAATATATTGTATATATAAATGATATATATGATATATATATGATACATATGATATATATGATATATATATATATATATTAAAAACAATATATAACATGTATATATATATATATTAATATTCTACGCGTATAATTTACACACACATGTATATATATATATACATACGAACCTGTATTTCATACTACCTCCGGGGCCTCGCGGTCTGGCCCGCCCTCCACATATTTAAATGTCGTTACAATATATATATATATGTGATATCCCCCAAAATCAGGATCAAACGCCAGCATTTTTGATGGTTAAACCGTTAAACCGTTGTTCACCCAACATCAGAGGGATGGTATTAGTATGTATTATATGAAATTATATGAACAATTTATGATGACACATATAATCAGATAATATAATCAAGAAATGATTATTTATGATGATTATATTATATGATGAATGATTCCACATTTTCAGACACAGAAAAAAGAAATCATCCAGTACCCGTGGCGATCTCACCATCTCACCACGGGGGCGACACCAGGGGCACCTTGGATTCAGCCTTTTCCTATGCGGCTTCGAGGCACCGCAAATAGGCTGGAAAATAAACCATGTTTGATTGAAACCAGCAGCCAGATGCGAAAATTTCTGCTCAACTTCCACATCCAATGTTCGAAACCTTGGGAGTGGCAGTTGGGTTTATTAATGAGTGTAGTAATGCTTGAAGCCACCATAAATGGGGGTCTATACTAAGCCCTATGGATCCCTATGGTGAACATGGGTGAAATCTCTCGGCTCCATGTTCAGTCGGTGGGGCCTCCTTGGCCTCTCTCTTTTCCTGTCGAGGTGATCCATGGCTATGGCTATAGCGGCTATGGCAAGCCCCAGATCATGCAATCCTGAACATGATGGAAAGCTGAAACTTATGATGTGGATATCCCTGGATATCTGTGGTAGATTAACATACCATGTTGGCTATGGCAAATGGATGCCAATGGCTCATGTATTTGTGATTTACCGACTCAACCGTGATTTTACGTAGCTATGAACAAGGAATTAGAAGGTAACACGGTAACATTGTGGAAAACGTCAGACAGTGACATGGGACCGGGGATGACCGGTGCTGAATCTTAAAAAACTCAGCCAACGATCGATGATCGAACCATCAGGTGACCTACATGGTATCCAGTTTTTTCATGTTTTTTCAAGGCCACTTGAGCTTTTACATGTGGCAAGCAGTCGGATAGACCCTTTCTCTGCCATTTTTTGTTGGTGAAGATGAAACATGGAAGCTGCCCTGCTCCACCATCAACTGGAATCCTTTTCAAACACCGCCGACGCCGGTCCGATGCCTCCTTTGGGGTTGACTTTTTGCTCTTGAGTTGCTCCTGGCACAGCAGGAAACACCTAGAACCAATGGAACTAATGGAATTAATGGAATTATATAAATGTTTGTAGGAATTGTCCAAAAAAGCTTGTTCCTGAGGGTGTTGGAATTAGCCCGGAAACCTATTTCACTAGGCATTTCAAATGCAACTAGCCAGAGGCTCTTGCAGGGCTTGTGTCGCTTTCGGTCATTTCATTTTTTATTGTTTCTTTGGGATTGTTTCTTCTCTTTTTGCCAGATACCATCATTGTAGCTATGCCATAGAACAGCTCTTGCCTCGTCTTTTAAGATGGCATCTGTCTGCCATCTGAAATGGGCAAGCAACAATGCCTCTGGCTCAACAGCTATTGCTTGACACGCTTCAAATCGGTTCGAATCGGAATTTTGCAACAGGGGTTCTATGGCTTATCAAATGGCTTATCACCAATGGCTTATCCTAATTGCTTATCAAATGGCTTATCATTGTGCTTATCACCATCATTTCCTATCATTTTTGGCACAATCCCAATGGCTCACCATCACCATTTCCCCTGTAGCGCTGAGGGTAGAATCTAATGGATGCCCTGCAGGAAGAGATTTTCCCAAATATCCTGGACACCAAATCAAGCCATGGAGGAAACCACAACTTTCTATCAATGCTCAGTTCCTATTTTATGGTAATATAGCTATGGAAAAATATGGAAACTCCCACCATTTTTAACTTTTTGAAATAAAGACATACCAACCATCATAAATGGTCCATTTCCATAGCCGAATGGCCCAGCACGACGATGCTTTACAGAACATCCCCTCCTTCTTCTTAAGATCCTGATGCAAGCAGCGGCCCTGGATCTGGGGATCTGATCTCAACATCAAAAATGCCGTCACTTGGTGATTTTCACCATAATTTAACGCCTACCATCTGGTTATGACTAACATAGCCATGGAAAATGGCCCATAGAAATAGATGATTTTCCCAGCTAGAAACCTCCATTTATTTTGGTGATTTTCCATGGCTATGTAAAAATAACCAGAGGGTAATTCTTAAATAACGCCATTATTTAGGAATGCACCAGGTACGATGTGCTTATTTAATGTTATTCACATAGAGTTGATGAGTTTCGGGGTGTTCACCATTTGTGCTTGTTTTTTTTGGAAAGCCTGCTGGTGGTCAAAGGGCTCATCTCTATAGGAAATGGATAATTTTCTCATGTTTTCTCCATTCAAGTGATCAGGATGGGAAACTGACCTTCATTAACAGCATCTCACAACCCTAAAATGGGACAGTCCCAAGTGAAAATTTGGTACATATCGAGATAAATAGATAGATTGGATTGGATCGGATCGGATTGGAATAGATTGGTTTAGGTTGATTCAGATAGATAGCTAGATGCATACATTACACATCATTACACTATTATTATGTTATATTCTCCATGTCCATGCGGATCCTTTTTTAGCACCTGGACCAACCAGCCACAGGTCCACAGTCATTCCATGCCTGGGCCCTCAGTTTACCGGTAGTCATGGCTGCCCAAAATCTGCGACTTCGCTCATTTTCCCAGCTATCAACATCTTGAGCGTCTTTCCCAACCTTAAAAAGTTGGTGGTTAAACCTACACTTATTCACAGCTATTTGGATTGATAGTTATAAACTCCTAGTTACAACATGTAACAACCAAAAACTTTGTTATTACATGTTATTACCATCTGTTTTTTCGCATTTCTGCCAGGACTCAGAGGATTTGCCTCAACTATAGTATATAATAACTATAGGATTTTCCCACCTCCATCTTCTTGCGCCGCTCTTCTGCACGTTTTCGCAGCTCCTCAAGCATTCGCACCTGGCACGCTGGAACAACACATGGATAAAAAAAGGGGAAATGATGAAAGCATGATAGGGAAAAGTGATAGGACACATGGTTTTCTTAGAACTTTGAAACCCCAAAAACTATCATCAAAATTCATCAACATGTTTTTTTTTTTTTAATATATAGAGATTTTAAGAACTTTGAAGCATCAAGCATAGGGCTGTGGTGCTGCATTCATGTTTTTGATGTCGAAAAATATTACAAGCATGGGACCCAACCTGCTGGATGCATCAAACATGTATTCTTACGCAGGAAGTTTCTCAACCCGCCATGTTTGTGTACCGGAAGGTGCAAGGAATGTGAGGCTCTACAGGCCTGAAACCTAAGATTGAATCCCAAGAAATCGGCTTGGACAGCTTTCCTATATCAAAACCCTAATCCCGGCATTTAACCATTTAACATAAGATATAACTTATAACCGCATGAAACCATCAACTCAGAATCATGAAGGATTTTTAGAAGACCCACAGCTTTGAAGATTGACATAGATTGACTACAATACTTCTAAGATCTTCTAAGATCTCTACATGTTTGTTGCTTTTGAATCACCATCAAAAAAAGCTGCCATTTTTCATCATTTTTCCCAAGATTCCCAGGCAGCGACCTCCTCTTCATCAGCTTCATCGTCTTTCGACTTCTCACCGGCCTAAGCTCGGCGTGACGACCGAGCTTACCCCACGAGCCGTTGGCAATTTCAGGGGAAAAAATTAGGATTCACTGGATGGAATGGGGTTACCATGGGTTACCGGGGACGAAAAAAAAACAATCTAGGGAACTTGGCCTAGCTTGGAATGATTTTTCTGCACTTCCATCATCTTCCATCACACAAATTTACAAAAGAAAACAATGTCCAATAGGAAACCAAAGAGACATGATGATACAATTTACATCAATGTATGACCTCTTAAACTTTCTTTTACAGATATAAATGCATTGATATAAATAAAACATCTATACATTGATAGAAATAGGACATCCTCTAAGATATATTAAGATACTTTCATATACTTTCATAAGATATAAACCTCATATCATAAGATATCCCATAACTGATATAAACATCACATTTTCAGCCGGTGAAAACCTGGAAATTCCCCAGGGAATTCCCCGCCAGGTTGCTGTGGTGCCATTGGCCAATCGACTGGATCCCTTGGAGGCTGAGGCCTGGATGGTGCCATAGGGTACCCACTTATTTAACGTAGCGAAGTGTTATTTACAACTGGGCTTATTATAACATGTAATAACTGGGTTAATATTGATATATATATATATTGATGTTTGATTACAATAATTATGGTTAAAAAAACACCATTTTTCATAGGTCAATCATAACTGGCATCTATTTCGATTAGGGCCAGTTTCCACAGCTCTGTTTAAAAATAAGCAGAGGGTAGTTCTCTTTAAATCTTAGGGATGTTCAACACCAGGAAATATGATGAACTATGGTCCTAATTTTCAGCTGTGGTAAGTCATCAGCTTCATATTTCAGACTTTCCAGTCTGAAATGGCAGCACATGATGAAAGAACATTAAAGAACCCATCCAAGATCACCCAAGCTTTCCTCAGAAAAAGATACGATACGCTGATTTTGAGACCAGAAAAATGGATGCTCAAACAATAATAATAGATAATAATAGGGCAAATCTTCAAAGAACATATCAGCTTCGTACAATGGACCTCTCGTGTTAAAAGGAACGAGCAGGATGCAACAAGCAGCTGGGCTTGTGTGTCCTGCTGCAGCTGGGTCAACCCAAAATCCACTTCAAAACCATGAAATTGATCCCTTACAGAGTAATTACTAAACATTCAGAAATTCATTAACGGGACGTGTGTGAGGCTATTCGCGTGCGCTGCAAATGATCCAGATCCTTTGCTTCAGGATCTTAGTGAGAGGACACCCTGATGTACTTTTGGCTCTGAAGGATACTGTGAAGGGCACCTTTCACGATCATACATGGTCCATCATCCAATTCATATAAATCCCATGTCAATCTGAAATCTTTCGTCCGGAATTCTGAAAGATCCTACCTTTTTCCCCCCTTTTTTGGATTTTTTTGGACTCAGATGACTCCAATCCGATACCCAGCTGCCATTACGGATGTCACCTTCTTCCGTTCCTCTTCAGCTTTGGCTCTCTCCTGTCAGGAGTTGATCTGGTCACAGTTTGGCGCTATCATTGGGACATACCCTCTGGTTATGTCAAAATAGCTATTGAACATGGCAATTTATAGTGGATTTTCCATGATTTTCCCATTAAACATGGTGATTTTCCATAGCTATGTTAAATTACCAGAGGGTAACCGAGTTGATACCAATTATCAATGGGATGATGTTCCCATCAACAAATGGAACATGTCCACCTGGCTTAGAAGAACTGATCCACACTGTACAAGATGTACAAGTAAAGGAAGAAATGGGATAATGGGATACAACCTTCCCCGAAGTTATGAACCAAACATCTCCAGCCATCTTCAGCTCGAACCAGACCTGAGTTGATTTGTGACAATGGAACTTGGAACCCCTATCATCCGGGTCCTAAAAGCATGCAAAAGCATGGTTTCCCTTCCGGTGTCCTCTTACATTACATGCAAATCAATGCATATCATGCATCACCAGCCTCAACTGTCAACATCTTCTGTTTTTTGAACCCGTTTTTCATATTTTTTTCCTTAGAAAAACCACACGGAGTTTCACATCCTTGGTGTTTCCCCAGCCTCCCGTCGCTTGTTGTAGGCGGTGACCTTGAAGACTGCGTCAGTCTTACGTAGCACTAGGGACATGGATGATGTACACACCACCATGGCACATGGATATGTATATATAAATATATATATATATATTACGTGGAATATGGACGTTTGTTATCCCATACTTGTAAGTCCATGTTGCAAAACTGCATGTTGAAAATCAACAAAAATGGTTTTGTCTCCCAGATTTAAACGACGTTGTTGGGGCATATATGTTGAAACTACAATGCACATCTCCATGTATCCCTGTTTAATTGTTTTCCTGGTATGTATGCCACAAAAGTATCTATAACCCGTGCTCGTGCTTCAACCTGCAACTATATATATATAATTATATATATATATATATATTAGTATATAATATATCGGTAGGGTGCTGACATTTGCCCGAAATGCACGGAATTCCATGCGGGACTGCAATTTGCTGAGTTTTTTCCGCGTGTGTTTTTCGAACACTGCGAGCATGCAAAATATTGTTTTTACCTGCGTCTCATGGCATTTTTGTGCTGACCGAAGATGGTGCCAAAATTACCTTTTGAAGCGTATTTTAAAGATATCCTCTGTAATTTGCAGTGTTTCGAGCCGTTAACTGAATCCTCCACAAACCGCAAGACTTTGCAAGAACCCCAAACTAACCTAATCCGACATAACCCTAAATAAACACCAAACTGCCAAACAAACACTAAACTAACCATAAATCAACCATAAATATAAATAACCCTAAATAGACCCTAAGACAACCGTGAGCAAACCCTAAAACAACCCTAAATAGCACGAAAATAACTAAACAAACCCTAAATGAACCCTAAAGAAAATCTAAACCAATCCTAAGCAAACCCTAAACAAATCTGAAATAACTCCTGAACAAATCACAACGTAACTAAACCATACTAAACCCCCAATGAAACTTTGGGCGAACGTCCACCCCAGGAGGGATACCTATATAATCCTTTTTTTCTGTAGCCCACAGACTGATGGCATCCACAAACCAAAATATTGAACCGCCATCAATGCAAATAAACAGGAAAAATAAGAAAGACCCCCTGGGAGGCGGCCGTCACTGCAATGCGCATTTCGGCTCATGCCTCTGATACAATTCCAAGTTACATAAATTCATATCATCCTTTTCCTGTAGTACTAAGGACTCTCCCAGAACCCTCCATGGTGTAGTATTGCATTTGCATGCATTTGCAGCATAAAAACAATTGGGATACCATTAAGCCCAAGCTACAGCTGGCCCATCACGGACTGCGAGTAGTCTGAAAAAACTGGCTGGATCTTTATAACTACTCATGGGATTTCATGAGTAGAGTCCGTTTCATGATCTTATGATACAGTACATCACCCAATACTATGAGGTGGTCATCGGTATTGACAATATGTCGACTAAGTATTAGTGAACCACAGCACGCTACATTACTTTGCGCGAATGAGCTGTATGCTGGTGGATTCACTGAATGCTTGCTCCTGAAAATATCCAAAGGATTCGAAAGGAACAACTCCAGAGGCAACCAGTCCACTGCTCAAATTCAACAAGTGAAACTGCCGAAATCGGATCCTTTCGGATCAGATTCTTTTACACTGACCTATCACTATTCACAGCTCCACCCCCCAAAAAAACATCAATTTGGTGGTTGTTCATGTGGCCTTTCATGTTTTGCACAGAAGGGTCAGAAGGGTCAAAACAGATCCGATCTGTGCCTCGAATTCCACCGAGAGGCGAAATAGCTTCCAGCCGAATCGGAGGTGGGCCGCTTTCCTGTGGAAAACGCACAGTGCACTGCCTGTCCTGGTCTTGGTGTAGGTGCTAGTTCGGTAGGTTTGGAACACCTACAGCGGACTACGTATACTTAAACACACGCATAAACAAATATCTGTTGTGAAGGTTTTTCCAAAACTACGTTTTATCATCATATAACTACACTATCTTTTTGGTATACAAACACCTACTCAAATATACGCATGTTGTGAAGGTTTTTCTTGAATTTTCATGTTCCTTTTGGTGACATGCTGCCCCGTGACATGCTGCGCGTCACCACGCCTTCCGTCTTGGATTTCTTCGTCTCAACCTTCTCTTCGCTCGCGTCATCCTCATCCTTTGGATTGGATACAATTTCAACACTTTCAACTGGCATAGAATGGGATATCCACGATAATCGGGATATCCTGATATCCATGATAATCAAATATATCATGACCCCAGTTCTTAAAGGGCAATTGAATGCAATTGATACGTATCATCAGGGCCTCAGCATCCTCATCTTCGTCTTCATCATCGTCTTCATCCTCCTCCTCCTTCGAACACGGGAACCAGGATTCTAGTTAATCGTCATGGTCCAATTTTGATTGTTTGAGATGTGTGAAACATCTACACGAAACATCTACTGGAAACATCAACATCAAGCAACGCTCTAACCTATAGCCCGCACATTTTGTTTTCGTTTCCCTACAGTTTCAACCTTTCTGGTGCCACCCTCCATGAAAAATGGAGCCCATCACTTGGATCATGGACATGGGAAAACCGCATCTGTGAAACCCATGGTGCGGGAACAGCCCCGTAAGTGGCTGGCGCACATTGAAACGTAGCAATCCAGATGCCAAATTGAAACACATATGAACATAATATATGAACAAAAAATGAGGATGATAGATACTCTACATCTCGTCTTCTTGTACTCGAGGTCCATAAAATCACAACCAGGTTTAATCACGGGAAATGCGAGGCCCCGAGCCTTTTTGGCTGAGGACTTCTTTGGCTTTTCATCTTCTTCCTCCTCCTCTTCCTCGTCATCGTCATCTTCTTTTTCCTCGTCCTTGTCCTTCTCTTCCTTCTCCTCGTCCTCATCTTCCTCATCTTCCTTGTCCTCCTCCTCTTCCTCTTCACTTGAAGATTCGACCTTCATGGCCGTGACTCAGCTGCCGGCTGTCACCCGGGTCACACTTTCCTCCCGTTTCACCTTTCCAAAATTCTACCGGAAAGAAAGTGGCAAGAACTAAGGGGACAAACTGCTGTCCGAGGCCTCAATCTCCGACCCATGCATTGCTGGTTCATACAGCCCAATGTCTTTTTTTTCCTGGCTTATATCTCCATTAAAGAGATATAAAGCAACATTTTATTTACTTGGAAAAAAAAACGTGATGTATACACTGATGGTTATACATTTCTAGATTCCTGATGGCCTGCTTCTTGGCTGGCTTTCGAGACGCACTTGTCTTGGCCGGCTTCGGCGGTGTTGTTTTGACGGCCTGCTGGCGATGAAACATGCGCCACATGCGAGTGCGGTTCCGCAAAACAATCTCTTTTTGTGGCTTTGTTTGACAATTTGGAGGATCCCTCCAACTCCACTAGTTGGTTTCTCATAGTTTATCATCCGGTAATTTAACATAGCTATTGAAAATGGCCAAATTGCCATATTTATAGTGGATTTACCCAAAAAAACCATGGTGGATCTTTCCATAGCTACGTGAGTTTCCCATAGTTTATCATCCGTACAATAATAATAATAATTCACCATGAAAGTTGGGGACCCCCATGTTCAGACGCACACAGCAAACCCTGGTTGGTCATCATCAGTTTCCCTATGATTTGATGGCTGGGGATATGGCTGGAGATATCCCCTATTTTTAATATTAATCCCACATATTTTATCATATTTTGATATGGTATATAATATATATATATGTATACGTCCCATATTTGAGAATGCTTGTTTCATGCGCATTTCTCTTGGTCCAACTGGTTTGCCTGAATTTTGGGCATCCCTACATCCATTGCTTGATCAGTTTTGCCTACATGGCAATGAATCTGGTGTGGTATATATAATCCGATTTTCAGACAGATCCAACTATGTTCAAGATGATCTTAGATATTGTAGTTATATGATGTTATATGGTATAGTTATCTTGTCCCAAATCCTTCCCACGATTCCCCAAACTATTTCAGTTCTTTTTCTGGATGAATTGATACGCATTATAATTCATTGTTCGGCCATTTGGGGATTATTCCCCTAATTTGTATTTCCATGAGTTCAATTGACATCGCGACGTGAGGTCGTGATCACACGTATCTGACCTATATATATATATATACATACGCTGTATATGGTTGTTGAGCAACATTCCTTTAAACTATGAAGGGTCTTTACAAATTTTTGGGTCTTCGCAATTAAAACTTGCTACAAAGACCTTTACCCTCTGGTAAACTAACAGTTTGCTATTGAAAATGGCCATTGACATAGTGGATTTACCCATACATAGCATGGTGGATCTTTCCATAGTTTTTTGTATGTTTACCAGAGGGTAACCAACCTATATCCCATTAAATCCCATTAAAATACCATGATCACCATTGGTGGTAAAAAAATCCCTGCCTCACTCCTTGGCTTCTTCGAAGCACGCGCCTCGGGCTCACGCGCCTCGGGCTTCGCCTCATGGGATGTTTTTAAGCGACAACGGCGTTTGGGAAATCCTTGGGACACGATAAGAAAATTGGGGAGAATTCCCTACCCTCTGGTAAACTAACAGTTTGCTATGGAAAATGGCTATTTATAGTGGATTTTCCCATGAATAGCATGGTGATTTTCCATTGCTATGTTAGTTTACCAGAAGGTAGAGTTTAGTTGTTTTCATCTGTTTTTTTTTCTACATTTTTTTTGTCATGGTAAATTTGAAGTGGGAAATGCCGAAATCATCCTGGAATCAGAGCCTTTGGAGAACGCCCCAGGGCGCTTGCTATGTTGGGCTTGGCGATTTGACGAATTTAGCTCGGAAAAATTCGGCGAGCATATATCAGGTATGGGCATAGATCCGAATAGGTGGAGAATGAATAGTGAATAGACCCAATCCTGAAGCAAGGCTTTTGGGGGGGTATGGAATACCATTATAGCGTGAGCGCGAAACCAAATTTCATGAAACATCTAGAATATCATAGCATTCCCAACAAACAACGGGTAAAACTGAAACTGACCCCTCTGGATATGTCCAGTCGTGTGGGTGGGCACCCGCAACAACGGATCTGCCAGTCCCAACTTAGTTCCAACCATGATCCAAACTCCAAACATCATTGGGATTGGGTAGCTGCGACAGTGGTCGTATAGTGGTTGTAGTTGCATACTGGTCGAACACGACTGACATGTACAAGAAAGAACAGCGCCTTCAGCCATTCCTAGGTCACTACCCTTTGTCCAACATGGAAGTGGCGTCTGCCTAACACCCAATCTGCCCATGTTACTGTAGTGACACTGTAGTTCTACAGCGCCTATCAGTATCAGTTGGTATAAAATGGTGTAAAACTCCTCAGGTTTTCATCCTGAGTCCTGCCCACCCTTCGAAAAACCTTCTTTCCTATCCTAGTCTCAATCCCCCTCCCCAATTTACGGGGCATTTATATTTACATATATATATAATATACCGTTTTTCAACCAATTGAACAATCAAACGTATATAAAAATATGTGAGAATATGTTGGATACATGGTATATGCGGCAAATGAACAAATGCCACCAATAGTTCTAATTATATAGCATCCTATTGTTGTTTAGATCCACAAAATCTTCCCAACGCATTTCCCCATAGTCTTGCAGACCACTACGCTTCTGGGCAAACATATCCTTATATCCCACAATAACAAACCCCATAACATACCATAAATTTGCTATATATATGTAAATTATATATGTAAATCTAATCAGAAAATAGGGTACCCGGGTACCCCATTCCAATCATATTTTTCCTTTTGAAGTGGCCATTCCCAGGGGAATGGACCCCATTTTCAGACACATCCATATGTAACTCTTGGTTAATCCCACAAGAATCCCAGCAGTACAGCTCCCTATTAAAAAAAAAACACATACCCCCTGGTAAACTAACAGTTTGCTATGGAAAATGGCCATTTATAGTTGATATACCCATTAAACATGGTGATTTTCCATAGTTTTTTGTATGTTTACCAGAGGGTAACCAACCTATATCATTGATATCCTCCCATGTTCCAGCTCTCTTTTTGGCTCCCCTTCCCGCGAGCGAATTGCCATGCTGCTGAGGAGGGTCGCTTCACCGCAGCCGCTCCGCGAATGGCAGAGATGCTGAAGTTCTGCGGCGGCAAAGTCTCATCCCCAGGTCTCCCCCGACCAAAAAAAGTCACCTGGGCAAAATATGATCATTATTGACAAATTGACAATAATTATATAATTAAGAATTAATATGATATGATAATCATTATTTATATTATTAGTTGGTTAATTATAATATATAATAATAATAAATAAACAATATGAACAATACATTACAAAATATAAATAATTAACCAACAATAATTGACAAAAACTTGATAATTTGAATCCAAAGAAATGGGCTTTTTTAAATCGGAATATCTTGCCTGATGACCATCCCCCAATATCCCCCAATATTTCGTGTGGGCTACCCTCCAAAATGAATAGATCCAAAAATGATGAACTTGCAGTCATTACTTTTGGTTTATGAAGCTGAAATAAACTGGGTATATATACTCCCTTTTTTGTTTATTCTTTTTTCATCTTTTTTCTACATGAAATCCTGAACTGGAAAGAAGTAAGGTTCAAGATATCCCTGAAGTTTTGATGCTATTCACCCAGCAGTGCCAGCATCCAGTCTGGCAAGTTTTGGGATGCTTTCCACTTTCCCTTACTAAATAGCATTTGTGGTGAGGTCGGTCAGGCCACAGGTTGACTTTCCGCATCTCGATCCAACGCTATGGTTTCCGGCATCATCAATGTGACCGCACTCAACATGACGTGCTTGGGTTCTGACCAGGTTGTACAAGCTTTATCTTTTATTCGCGTCGGTTTACCCACAACCTGGTGCCAAATTGCATTTGCAACCTTTGAAAGACTGCAAAATAGCCATCAATCACCACAAGTGGATCCATAAACATCTGAAGGACTGAGAAAGAGGTTCAAACCTGGAACACCTTCATCCTACGCCCCTATGAAGGGCACGTATGTAAACTTATTACTTTTCTCACATGTAATAGTAACCGAAAGAAGAGAACAGTCGAACAATTTGCCATATATATATATATACAAATATATGTATATATTTATCATATATATATATATCATTTATGCATATATATATATGTATATATATATACATATGCATATATATATCATATTTGTATATATTTGTATATATGATATATGATATGATATATATACACGCAGGAGTTTGCATTTCTTTTTGAAGGTTGATATGTTCGAAATTGTTTGAAGTTGACCTTTCCCCATTCTGGGCCCTTTCCGCATTTCGTCTCTCCGCCTGATCGATGGGACCATCGTGTGGCACATTCCACCTAGCAGCTGAGCTCAACAACCAGGGCTTTTAATGGGATGTTCATGGGATTTTAATGGTGATTTAATTGTGATTTAATGGTGGTTTAATGGTGATTTAATGGGATTTATGCGGATTTTAATGGAATTTAATGGCTTTTATCATGATGATTATCATTGGTTTAGAGTTTAGAGTTTAGTCGGGAAAATCGGAAACCCGGAAAGCATGGTATAAAAACTATTAAGATCATGGTGGGTTCGTGTAAAATTTCCCTTAAACATCCTTAAACATCTGAAACCAATCCAATGAGATTAGGGTTCAGGGTTGGTGGTTTGCTCAGCGGGTCATTCCGAGAAGTCCCGATTTTTTCACTGGCGAACATCACTTGACAATTTTGTAGTCACAGTTCGATTGGAATGAATACGGCCAAGCCTACGAATGGAGAAAATCTGGGATAGTTCTCGTGGGCGCCTACGAATAGCATGGACATACCCACCATGAAGAGTTGACAACTTGGGGGTGCATCCATTTTAATTATATAGTAGGCAATAACCAAATAATTATCGTCCATGGGTTGGTCATCCCCTCAGCTATACACATATCCACATATGCATAGATTGCAAAGTATAAACGTGAGATAACGTAAGTAGCAGCCCCATAATAGAACAGTTGGACACTTGGAAATTCTGGGGAAAGGATCAAACTACCATCCTGGTTGCATACATTTCGGCATCTTTGTCTGGGGTTGCTATAATTATACACATATTTGTCTACAGAGGTTACCACAACTCAAGTAGGATCATTTTTTTCCATTTTTTTTGGGGTTACTATAGTATACCCTCTGGCAATTCAACATAGCTTATGTGCAATTGCAATTTCTAGATGATTTGCCTGTTGAAAATGGTGATTTTCCATAGAACACTATGAAATTACCGGGTAACATATGTACATATATAGATAATCATAAATAAATAAATATACATATATATATATAATAAATATAATATATTTATATATATATATAAAGAAATACGAAATAACATATAAAAACAAATAAACACATATAATTACAAATAAACAACTAAATAAATGAATACATCAATAAACAAATAGTATATAGTACCCATCAAAGCTCCCTGAGTTTCCCGACTGAGATGCTGGAGGCGTGCCCGCCGTACAGCTGGGATGGTAGGCCCAGACTTGATCACCACCCACCTACCAGGACATCAGGATTCTTCGTAACGGCGATTCATGGGATCGTTTTTTGGATTACCCGGCCTGGTAATGACTAAAAAACCGTTTGCGACATCGAAAACATGGTGATTTATCGTGAGTTTTCCCATTGAAAATGGTGATTTATACAGAGGGTAACATGGATTCACCCAGCAAAATGCTGGTTGTACAATGCTGAAGTTATATTTCATACCCTCGCGCTTCCCGTTCGTAGAATGATCTACTCTTATGGTGGCTGTTCCACATTTATGTGAATGTTTACGGGAGGGTGCAGGAAAATTGATGTGGTTCTAATGGATTCTTGCCATTCTGTGAGTTCAAAAAAATAGGCTCTGGTAACTTGACCGTTTGCTATGGAAGATCAACATTTTTCTGGTTGGTGGTATACCTACCCCTCTGAAAAATGATGGAGTGAGTAACAGTTGGGATGATGGCATTCCCCATATGATGGGAAAGTCATAAAACATGTTCCAAACCACCAGTTTTACAATTTCAATCAGGCAAGGCAAATCATGGCAAGTCATGGAAAAATCATGGAACATCCACCATTGCACCATGTTTTAAGAGGTAAATCGTGGTAAATCATGGGCCATTTTCGCTTGCCTTGCCAGGAGATCTCCAAGCGGATTCCCGGATGCACCATATGTCAGCTGTATTTTTCTGTGAGCGGAGTGACCCCCCAAGGTATCAATGTCTTGATCGAATCAAACATACCCTTGAGTGGAAGTTGTCATTGTTTCCTAGTTGTCATCGTCTGGTAGAAGTTGGCATCGGGGTCGCATTGTCATGGCATCACTATGTTTGTTTTTGGGAATCCAAGCGGGGTGGTGGGGGGGCGGACGATCCTGAAATACTTGCAAATGCTATGCGCCATTCAGCAGCAATGGGAGAATGAGACAGGTCAAAACAATCTCCTAGAAACAGCCAGGCCAGAACTGTCAAAGAGTTTTTTCAGCGAAAGAATGCCTGGCTTACAATCCACGAAAATTGCGGCGGGTGAATATTCTGCCGGGATGTGTTTGATGGGTTCCTTGAAAAAAGTGATTTTCCAAGACGTACATGATAGATTTTCATGTGTTGTTGATCATACGGTTGACTTTCCTGTTTGTTTGAACACAATCCCCGAAAAACGGGATCCCCACATTGCCAAATACCACCGAAATCCTCCCCTTCTTAATCAGTATATCATCAGAATTCATTATATCTGATCCATCAAGGCCTCAATAGCTCCCCGAAAGTCGACGATTGGTGGTTTCAACCCTTTCCCAAACTACAAGTATAAAAGTTCATTGGAACAAAGCAAGAAAAGGATGAACCGATCTTAGACACCCTGCATTTCTTGAAAGATGAATAGTACATCCCACACAGCGAAAGGTCATATATACATAAGTATAAGTTATAAACCATGAACACATTATATCCCATGGTCAAAACATGGTATATGATTTGTGGTCATACAACCGATCGGGAATGCAAACATAATGGGCATATTAAACCCTATGAAAATGAATATATACGGCCATGCCCTTCTATGGGAAAACAAGCAATGTTTTCACCATGGAACATATCACCATTCATACAATATGATAAATCACCGATTGATATTAGTTGAGATGTGAATCAACTAAATCATACTAAATCTATAACATTTTATAACCAGCATTAATAAGTTACATGGGGCGTGGCCCAATAACTTGGTCCCCATGACTCGGGGCTTGGCCCTTGGCCCGCGCCTTGGGGCCTAACCACCATCCGCAGAGCTCAGGGCCATCTCTCTCATCCCAGAAATAGATCAGCACCTCTGGCGATGGGGCGATGCTTCACCACGCTGACCACCATCATCCTGAAGATATAAACATATATATATATATACGCTGTATATATGCTGTATATATGTATATATCCGGTATACTGTATGTATATATACTGTATAATATGTATATATATATATAGATGATATATCTAATATATTCTGATATAGTTGTCATGATCATATATTAACCATCATATATGGACCAGTCATAGATCTGTCAGATTCCGCCCGGCTTTCGATGGGGAAGTATGAGATACTAGGGGAAGTGGCTATATATATATATATGGTTATTTTTAAAGGTTACCCTCTGGTAATTTAACATAGCTATTGAAAATGGTGATTTATAGTGGACTTTCCCATTAAAAATGGTGATTTTCCATAGTTATGTTAGTTTACCAGAGGGTATTCATATTATAATGTTATATATATATATGTACCTCTATGACCTTGATAAATGTCGAACATTTGATCCGCTGCTCAACATTGTCGGACTGGTCGATGCACTTGATCCGCTGCGATGTGCAAAGATCGCCAAACTGCATTGTCATTGAAATAGCCCACGCTTGTTTTTTTGGCACACCCGAGGTTGAGAATAAAACACCACAGCCAATAAACTATTGGAACAACATTCTCAATGAACTATCAATTATCAATATCCTAAAAGATCTAAAAGTGAATTATCAAATAGAAAAGTGAATTATCAATTTATCAATGAACTATATCTATTTTAGGATCCTACTTTTCTATCTAAAAATAGGGCTTTGCTATCCGCATCCAGTCAGTTGACCCAGTGTACATCAGGGCGAGTGGCGTCTAAGCCTTGCGACTTCTCCTTGCCTTAGGATCCAACTGGGCCATGGAAACCCATCTCTCTCTCTGGCTGTGTCTGAAAATTTCGGAGAAAAATCGTAAAACCATGGGAAACCTTCAAATTTTGGATGGCTATATGGCTATATGCAAGGTATACATAATATATACGTAATATGTGTATCTATATATATATATATACCCCATTTTGTCACACCGGTGTTGCACCGCAGGCGATGGTGATCCCAGCCGAGTGGCGTTTATATACCACCTTTCCGTGGTTTTGGGTGTCTGGTACCTCTGACGAGCTGGATTTGAGAGGCGCAGGACGGCGCAGGTGAATTTGTGACGATTTTTCAGTGTGATTGGTCTCCAATTCTGGATTGTTCTGTCGGAACCCCAGCGTTCCTCGGCTTTCATGTGGCTTCACATAGCATGCGGATTTTCAGGGTGGGCAAATGAGAGTGAACGGGATATATTGATGATCAAACGTAGAGGGGAATGTTGTGTCAACATGTGTCAACATTAGCCAATAAAAGTTGGATCATATTGGATCTTCTGGTAACAAAACTGTTCTTTATTAACAGAACAATTGCAATCCCACAATTATCCTCCAGTACTATATCAATCCTCCAGTGCTATATCAGTATGTTTACAAATGGTATAGTTCTCCCATCATAAATGCGATATTTCCTATACAACTATCAAACATGTTGCCCAACATTCTGCCCAGCGGCATATTCCCCAGCAATGATGCCGCTAATCGTCGCATCCTTAGTGATCTGCCGCGAGAAGGATGCCAAATCTTGGGCTTATTGGGCGAGTCACCTATAGCTTTGTCCATATGGGGTTGCTCCCATACAAATTACAAGTTTGGGTGAAATGAACCCAGTTTTGGACAAACCTAAAATTCATGTTGTTAGGTTTTTTTAAACATCAAACCCTCCATATTAATATGCTTCGCATCAATGGAAACTTCCAACTAACCGCCGAGTTACAGAGCAGCCGCTCACTTTCAGAGGTGGCAGAGAGGCCTTTTTGCCCTGCGGACGACATGGAAACACCGAAACCAGGTCTTTATCAACCAAAAATAGTGGATCTCCTGATGCTTTGGGATTCTCCAGCCCTACTTCAGTAAGTCAGTCCATTCACCAGGCTTGTCCCACCTCATGAAACAGCTGAATGGATCCCAACGCCTTGTCCGCGGCCTTCTCAACTTTGCTGGCCTCAGATGCGCGACCAGTGGACCAGCAATCTGATAGGAGATAGGACCCCAAAACGGTGTTGGACGACTTAAGTTAACTGCTCACACCTGCTAAGCCTAGTATTTTGCAGAATTGTTTTTCCGACTCCGCATTGATAAATATTGACCATTACCGCGGCATGCCCTCTGCACTTTTTAGGACATCGGCACACCAGGACATCAAGGATCTACAAGGGGTCCCTCTGTTTCACCCAACAGTCACATTCCAAATATCCTGTGAGGTGCCTGTCGGAACATGTCCGCTGTCACCCTGGAAAAGTAAGCGGGCCAGGGGGGCGGTAACCTTCATACTATGTACCTGTTTGCCATATAAACATAAATAAATAAATATAGTTACATATATATATATGATTATATATGAAACTATTACTATTATTATATTTATTTTGATTATTATTAGGATTATTGTTAGATATATAGCTATTTGCCATCTATGTACCTGCTGCAGAGGTTTTTTCACAATGGACATCAACTGGTCAGTTACCTGCCATCCGCCCTTCGTTGTATCTTCGTCAGGCCACCGGCATGGCGAAGATACGGCGCCTTCACGAGGATTTTTCCGTTGTGGCCACGCGTGACGTGAAAGTTGTGATGCCTTTGAACATTGACAGGTGCCCCAACGTTGTCAAAGCCATCCATTGTTCTTTTACCTTTTTGGACATGTTGCAGCTGTTGAACAATGTTGCTGTTACATTCTGTTGGCGCGTTTTTGTTTTCTCCATGGATTCTGGTCCGTGCCCCCCAAAACCGGACCAATTTGAGCCGAAACTCCTGTGGAGCGTTGCTGTTACTCCATCCTTCTGCATCCTATGTGCTTCATGGACACCTCAATTTCCAAGTATTTCATGGAAATTCTTAGGCACCCCTGCTTCTGCAATGGAATGTAATGTCATGTATGCCATGTATGTATGTCATGCGTGTCAGTATGTATATGTATATGTATATGCATGTATAGATTCATGTATATATATATATATATGTCGTATGCACTAACCCATCATCTTCAACGATGCAGCTCCTAGAAACTGACTCTGTCAAACTGGCTCTCCGGATCTAGTTCCTTATATAGTGGTAACTGAAGATGGCAGTGGAATCATGCACTCATCGATTTCCTGTGGATGAATGTATGGTAAACCCAATGCCATAGTCCTACCATTGGGTAATGGTTTATGCACCTGATATGGCTGATATACTGACATGTATCCTTTTTGGTGGTAGAAACATCACCACAGGCAAAATCATCCATTGCCCAGCCAGCTGATGGCGAATCTTCAGCAGCAATGGCTGTTTTAACGGAGCTACCCACAATCCGATGGGAAACTCGCGGGGCACCTCCAATCAAACGTGGCAATTGGACTGTCTCCCATTGTTATGGCTGATTTTCCATGGGATTTTCATGATTCAAAATGGATAATTTATGGATGATGTTCATCATAAAAAACCATAGGTTTTCATGGATTTTCATCATTCAAACCTTCATTGATCGATTTTTTTCTAGCCACGTTTGACACCGGAGGGTTTTTGCATGCTCCGAAATCTAGACAGGCGAGGCTGGTGAGATTCACTAAGGATGCCAAGTGTCCTTGACCTTGACAAAGGATGAAACACATACCCTCTGATAAATTAACATAACATATGGAAAATCACTATTTTCAATGGGTAAATCCACTATTTCTATCTATTTCTATGGTCATTTTCAATAGCTATGTTAAATTACCAGAGGGTATATCCTCACTGGTTGGTGGGTTTAACCATCTTGAAAAATATGAGTTCGTCAATGGTTGGTGGATTATCCCATATAATATAGTGTGGAAAATAAACAACATGTTTTTGAAACCACCATATATCCTCATATAACATCACACGTATATATATATATATAATTATATGTATATATATATAATATATATATATAGATTGGGATCATGAGGGATCATGTCAATTTAGGGACGTTTCCAAGAATATCCAATAATCATTGCCCATGAACTCGTAACTTCACCGAGATGCTGAGTTTACCATGACCTAGCCCACGATGGCCTTTTCCTATGGGGCATCCCCGGTGAATTCATCAAAAGCCTTAGGCTTCTCGATGAAAAAAATCACCCACTGGTATTCGCCTCACTCTGATTTCGCCCTGCATGGGAGCAACGTGATGTGGACCATGGGAAGGAATGGCCAGCGACATGGACGCTTTTGCTCAGGGCACAATATCAATCAGCAGATTTGGGTGTCTCCGCATCCCTAACCCATCTGGTGTGTTGCACAAACAGAAGACTCAGAAGACATCAGACCATAATTTGCAGTCTATCTATGAGTCAAATTTGGGGACCTTAAATTCCATGAAATTCCTAGAGCCACCAGATTCTCTAGTGAAACAATGTGTTGAACCAATCTCGCTACGGTGTAGTAGAGTTTAGTCCCCAACTGCACCTGAAAATTGAGGTCTTCAACCCAAATTCGTCAGCGAATTGGGATCATCCCAACCATAGAAACTGCAAAGGGGGTGTGGGTGAGAATTGGGTACCCCCAAACTCATGTAATCTGTGGTTCCCGGCACACCAGGTTTCTTGGTTCTGCAAACGCGGCGAATATCATTTCTGGATATTTCTGGTCATTTCTGGTCCATCAATCCTATGTCTTGGATACCTTTGGTGCTTCAATTGGGCAGTGTTCGAAAGCCTTCTCATCCATCTTGCCGCTTAGCTAAGAACGGGATTCCCGTGTCATTGATGGAATATCACAATCCATTTTAATCCATGAAGGATATGGATATCATTTCATGTTAATCACATAGATATCCATATTATATTTATATGACAATCATCGTTTTTTTTTAAATATATCCATATTTCTTTGCCGGGTCTTCTCAGTAATCGGTCTTCTCAGTAATCGGATATGGAATATCACCTATGACAGTCACTATTTTTTTTCGTGGGAACCCCCCATGATTTTTGAACTCCCTGCGGCCCAGCTGCGAACTTTCGGACAGAAAACTCATGCTGGGAATCAGGTGGTTCACCTCGACAGGGGAGCACGATGGACCGATGTGGAATCTTCATGGAGTCTATACCCATGAATCGAGATGAACCGTATAGTTGTGCAGAGTTTTGAATGATTTTGTATATGGTTACATGGTTAAATGAGGCTATACGATGTTATATGATGTTATATGATGTTATATCAGGCTATATAATGATGTTTTATGATGTTATATGATATTATACGATGTTATATGATGTTATATGATGTTACATGATGTTATATGATGTTTTGTTCTGTTTGAAAGAACGCTGATCCTATGAAACTGCTGATGGAAACTGATCATCTCTTGAAGCATGTGCGAAAACCCGACTGAGGTGATCTGGCTTGCCAAATATGGACTCCTGAAGTGGAGCCGTTGATAAATGGATTGGTTAGGGATAATTTTTCAGGAAACCTTGGTTTTAACATGGTTTTAACCACCTAGAATGGATCCATGGATATCAACGGTGGTTTCAATTTTTTCAGCCCATTCTGGGACTATGGACTCATGAATCAATTGGAATCACCAGCTCATGATGTTTGTTTCAAATTTCACGTTGTAAATCAAACATTACCGAAATTGGACACCCAAAGCATCCCAAAGCCAAATATGGATTCATCTCTCCGAACGACACTAGAGTTGCCTCTCAATGGCCGCTTCCTTCAAAAGTAGCCATTGAAAAAAACGCCAGAGGGTCATCAAGAATCTCATCCGACAGGACTCCAACACTGTGAGAACTTCACAGGACAGAACGTGGTGTGTGTTTGATGTCCAATATGCCATCACAATGATCTAGAACTACTCTTATTCCTATTGTATCCAAATGTATTTAAGTTGATTTTATGCAATTTTGGGATGATTAATTGGGATTCAACCGTCAATACAAAGGGATTTCATGGAAATTTCATGGGACATTAACCATCAACAAATACCGGTTTTTGGGAATGATATGGGATGATGCCCCCAATCCAAACCCATGAAATGTCGGCCAGTGCCTGCATGGCAGGACCCTCTTCGTCTCCTGCCAGGAGGCTTTTGTTCTGAGTCTGATTCCTGTTTGCCTTGTGCAGCATTTTGGCTCCAGAACCTTCACTTTGCATTCTATTTGCAGAATTTGGATCTAGCATTGAATCTAGCACTTCTCCTTTCGGATGGTATTTGCAGCATATTGCAGCTAGAAAAAACGTTTTTACTGTTGCTGTTGTTGTTGTTGTTGCTGCTGTTGGTTGTTGATTGTTGATTGTTGGCTGTTGGCTGTTGGTTGTTGGTTGAAGGTTGTTGTTTGTTGTTGTGGTTGTTTGTTTGTTTGTTTGATTGATTGATTGTTGGTTGGTTGGTTGGTTTGTTTGTTTGTTTGTTGGTCGTTGTTTGTTGTTTGTTTGTTTGTTTGTTTGTTTGTTTGTGTTTGTTTGTTTGTTTGTGTTTGTTTGTTTGTTTGTCTGTTTGTTTGTTTGTGTTTGTTTGTTTGTTTGTTTGTTTGGTTGTTTTTTTGTTTTTGTTTTTGTTTGTTTGTTTGTTTGCCTGTGTTTGTTTGTCTGTTGTTTGTTTGTCTGTCTGTCTGTCTGTTTGTTTGTTTGTTTGTTGTTTGTTTGTTTGTTTGCTTGCTTGCTTGTTTGCTTGTTTGCTTGTTGGTTGTTGTTGGTTGTTGTTGGTTGTTGTTTGTTGTTGTTGTTGTTGTTGTTCTTGTTGTTGTTGTTGTTGTTTGTTGTTGCTGCTGCTGCTGCTGCTCCTGCTGTTATTTTTTTTTCCCAGAACGAATTGAGAAGAAACATCTCACGGCACCAGTTGACTCGCACAGGCCAAAATGCCGCACTTGACTCCGTACGAACAAAGGAACCGCCTGAAAATGCAATGGCACAAAAACAACAAATCATAATCAACATTGGTCAAATGGCTATGGGTCAAAATGGTCAAAAGCCTGCTGCCAGGTGAACCCCAAAATAGTTGGCAAATCTGAAACTGACAGTAATCGGTTTTGACCCACATCTTACACCTCACCATTTCCACCCATTTCAATCATTTCCGTTTTTTAGGCTTTTGGTCAAATCCCCTTTGCAGTCGCAGAGCCCACCTGAAGAGCCATCACCTAGACGCCACTGTGAGACCATCTGAACATATCTAAACTTGACGCGATGCCAACTGCCAAGTGCGACACAACTATGACGTACTATTGACCATGATTAAAACATGTGTCACTGCCAGGAATCATTTCGAAAAGCACCGGTTCAGCTGTGCTGGCGGAAGTTTGGGGAACTCACAATAGCTTCCGAGCATTTTTTTACCCTTTGGTAATCAAACATGGCTAGCTGGAACAATTCCCCTTGATTGTTCGATGATTTCCCCATAGAAAAAAAAAACTAAAAGGAAGTAAACCTGTAAAACCTCAATTTAGTTTCGGAATTTTACCATTCAAACCTCCATTGATAGATGATTGTCCCATCTTTTCCCCTATTCGTGCGGGAATTTACCAGCCCGGCATGGAGCTCATGACCCGCATCCGCTATGAGATTTTCTCAACTTAGATTTGGATTGGGGGCTTTATATATCAATGAAGACGCTATTCGATGGTTAATCTCCCTTTCAACATAGGGCCAAGAGTTTAATTGTCCTCCGGTAATTTATATGACATAGCTATTGAAAATGGCACATTTGTATCATTTATAGTTTTTATTTTTTGCCAGGGCTTCTCAGTTATAGTTATAGTTGATTTACCTATTAATGATGGTCATTTTACATAGCTATGTTAGTTTACCAGAGGGTACCGCTATTCTATGCAGTCTTCAACCATTCGCCAGCCGAGCCCGGCGCCACTGTCGGCATCCAGGAGGGCGGGATGCTCTGCCGGGACGCCTAAGTCATGGACATCGACGTAGGAAGACGGTACCTCGACGTAGGAAACCTCCAAATATGCAGTTAAACCATAACTGGTTGGTGGATGTTGGTGGTTGACCTACCCCTCTGAAAAATGATGGAGTGAGTAACAGTTGGGATGATGACATTCCCAATATGATGGGAAAGTCATAAATTTCAGGTTCCAAACCACCAACCAGATAACTGAATCAAAACACAATAGAAAACGCAACATACATATATATAGAAATTACAGTTTATTGAAATATCATATTGGATTTCTTTGGCACATATCGGAGCTTTCTGAAGCACCAAACCCAATCCTGGTGGATTCCACATTTCATGGGGATGCAACCATCGGACGATGGACGATTGACGTTCCGTTTTAAGCAAGGAATGAGATAAGGTGAGATGTATAGATTGATGTATAATATATATATATTATATATTATATTATATATATATATTATATTGAAATGTACTGTGCATGATTTTTTGCATATTTTGCTACAACAAACTCAGTTGGTGGTTCAGTGGTATTGGTTCTTCACATTTCTTCCACCGTTGCCTGGGATGATGATGGATGATGCTTAAGGTGAGGTCGGCTATCCTCAGATTTGTTGCTTCTAACTCCTATGGAATGTTGCAGTAGCCATCAGTAACCGATCCACCACCATTGACCCTCATTAATCAATGAAATGTAATAGCATATGAGGTGCGACGTCATTTGCAATCCTCCTGTTGGAACACATCTTGTCTTGCTACCGGTTTTCGAGCAGAAAGTTGCACTTAAATCACAGAAACTAGGCCACCTCAGGATTTAGGTGAGTTGGTTCATAAATGGATATAAATGGTCTTACATCTTACCATGTCCAACCAGGATTTTGTGGTTCCTATTTTCTTTACCATTTTGGTCCTAGCCCCGCCATTTTGGGCTCCCACTTTCCAGTGGACCGACGGTCGGACCTGGACACGAAAAAGGCCGTCCCGGATCCCGGATCGGTCATCAATGGATAGGAAAATCTGCTGGAAACCATGGGATCTTCCCATTTTTTTTCAAGGAAAACCTGCCGGAATCCAATTTTCCCATTTTTTCATGACATATTTTGAGGTTTTCTGCAGATTTTCCCATGAAACATGGACGGTTTCTGGTGATTTTTCCCATGAAACATTGAGATCACCATCCCTGGTGCCAGGACGAGAATCTCTTGAGATCAGACAGGCAAAGCTTTCGCAACACGACACCATTGGTCATAATATATAAAGTACACACACACAGATAGATAGATATAGATATATATATATATATACATACACATGTACATCTGCATTTGGATGTAATGCACACCCAAACACACACGCACACATCATACATCTCTCTCTTTGATTATATACAGATCGACATGACATGCTGCATATCAACCCAGCCTTCAGAGATGAGACTTGCCTTGCTGCGCACTCGATTCTTGGCCCCTGCGGCAATGAGCCCAGTCACTGGCGACACCACAGACATGTCTATGGCTCCATGGGGCACCATTTTGAGGCTTACCAATAGTTCGTGGGTTTCTTGTATCTAAACGTAATTATATAACTGCACTTAACGTGTCCGAACGTGTTTAACCATACAGTTCTGTGGACATGGAACTATTTCAATGGCATGGATCGGTGCTAAGCATGCTCAATACAATCCATATAATCCATTTCAATGGCATACTCAATATAATCCAAAAATAGTAAAAAATAACCCTCATAATATATAGATAAATAAATAAATAACTATATATATATATACATATATATAAACCATCTAGAAAATATCATTTCAATACCATCAATATCATCCCAAAATAGATCTGCGAACTTGTCCCAGCGGGCCCGGAGGGACCGGAGACGAACTCCTGGTTTTTCATCCCATGGAAATCACCATTTTTGTTGGGTAAACCCATGGTACTGTAAATCCAACAAAAAGTCCCATACTTGAGGCCGGGGGTGGATGACGAAAGCTAGCGGGGTAGGAGAAAGAAGGAAGGGAAGAGGTGAGTTGCGGAGGGACTGTCATCATCGTGTCGCGGCATTGTTCGTCCCAACGAGGATGCAACAATGATATATGATATATGATATATAACAATGATATATATGGGGGAGGGGGCAGGGGGGGGCCCTTTCGCGTGAAAAATCACGTGATGTCCTTGGGGAGCCCCGGAATACTTGCCAAAGCAAGAAGACTCTAGCGAGCTGACGCTAGCTGTCGTGATAATGCCAGTAGTTGTCAACAATGATAAAATTTAATTGAATAACGATGATGATGATGATGATGATGAATGATGAATGATGAATGATGAATGATGACGATGACGATGACGATGACGAGGACGATGATGATGATGATGATGATGGTGGTGGTGGTGGTGGTGGTGATGGTGGTGGTGGTGGTGGGTGGTGGTGGTGGGGGGGGTCGCCCCCCTTTCGCGTGAAAAATCACGTGATGTCCTTGAGCAGCCCCCGGAATACTTGCTAAAGCAAGAAGACTCCAGCTAGCTGACGCTAGCTTTCGTGATTTCATCCATAGCTACGTGGGAACGGCCTTAAATCCAACAAAAAAGGACGGGAGCCTGAAGACTGCTTTGGTCGCAGGGGAGCCTTTTTGATGCCTGAGATCGAGCATCTGAAGATGTTGGATGCCCCAAAATGGTAATTCTCATGGCTTTTTGGCATCAATTTTCTCCCAAAAATAAACATGGTCATAAAAATACAGTAAGACAGGCAGTGTTTGATACATGTCAAGACCGGATTCATATGGATTCATCACATAGATTTAACATTATTATTTATACGGCATAATGAGGCATAATGGATGTCACATGGCCCATGGAAAACCTAACTGGGCCAGATTTCCGCCGAAAAAAAACTGGGATCAACCCCAATGGGTTGATGTTCCAGGTTCAACTGTGAGTTGCTTCCTTCACAGTGTGGATAGATGGTGATAGATGGACTGGCTGCGTCATGCCATGTGTGTACATGTATTATCATATGTTTATATAAGATTATATAAGATTATATCGTTATATATTACATAATGTAGATTTACACTAAAATTCATTAAATATTCATATTTCCATAAGACTATGTATATATATATATATATATTCTATCTATCTATAAGATGCTATAAGATTAATTATGTAGACATATATGCATATACATGTATATACATTATTTTGATCAAACTTAACTTATCAAATTGTCCAAACTTTCATCCACATTTCAGCCCATCTCCACGCCTGGGGGAAGCTCCTGGACGATGACGACTGGTCCATGGAAAATGCCAAACAACAATGGATGATGATGATTTGGGGGTAGCCCTATGACTTAAAAAACCTCCATATGAATGAGGATGAGTCTTGACATGTGGAATGATCTGGAGATGTCATGTCTGGATCAACAGTGAAACAATTGCCAACCCGAATCGAGGCCCGTTATTTAGGGCGGGCATGATTCCCCCTGTCCTTGGGGCGGGGCACTTCGACTGGAACCTGGCGATCTTTGGGGCTTTCCATTTAGGTTATCCCTTGCACCAATCCAACGAGCCAGCCTGGAATCATCTGGAATCATTGAATCACAACTTTACCATTTAACAAGTATATGCAGCAAAAAAGACCCCAAGTCGAGGGGCCTTCATAGCCATGTGTGTCTAAATCATCACCGGCAAAAAACATATGTATAAATATGTTGGTTTCATAGGGCCTTGGCCAGTCACCAGTCCTGAACATCTGAAAGCAACGTCACACCCTTCGCCGCTTTTCGCCTGTGAAGTCGACTGAGGGGACAAAGTGACGCACCTCAGATGGGCAAACCTTGGGTTTGCCAAAAGGCGGTAGCCAACACACCGTGCATACCTGAAACAAACACCGTTTTTTCATGTTTTTTCATGGTTTCCCCTACGAATGATCGTTTTCATATAGTGAGGTTGTCATGGAGCCGTCAGTAGTATGAAAGCATTGGGGGCCGGTGCGAAGAGATGTGGCCCAGGCCCCTTTGGCCCTTTGGAAATCACCTGCCTGTACTTCATGAATCTTCTGGACAAACAAGAGGCTCGGAAAATCACTACCTTGGGAATTAGTAAAGTAACTGGGTCCTTGGTAATAAACAATGTTCATATGACATCAACAAGCTATCTAATGCTATCTGTATATGGGTGTGGGATGTGCATCTGTAACACATTTTTAAAATAATTAAATGAAACTAACTACTTCAAATATCTTTAAATTGCATTAACAACTGATCAAAGGGATGCATGCCCAGTACCCCACAACAATCTTTAGCCCCGCCCGGGGGAGATCCCGCTTCCTTCCAGGGTGCTCTTTGGCCAGCATGTACATACGCTCAGCCACATCTTCGATCTCCTTTTCAGCCTCAGCATCTTCTCCAGTTGGGGGTATCTGAAATGATGGATGAATCCAGCCAATGAACCATAATATGTATTGGCAATGATGAATGGTAGTTCATTCAAGTTCATAGCCAATTGGTTATGATCATCACCCATAACATCAATGGTGATACAAACTACAAAAAACAAGGCCAGTGTGAGATATTCTGCAAACATACATTGTTGGTATCATATACATACATATACGCACACACACATACACACATACACACACACATATATATATAGTTGTATATATATATAGTTGTATATATATAATATAATATCCCCTTGCCAATTCACCCCATTGACCTGGGGGTTAAATTATATAGTGCATGAAATTCCCATTTATAGCAACCAGTCGTGCCCATCCAGTCGGATGACCCAAAACGGGGTCATCCGACAAAACGGCGTTTTGTCTTGCTGGATGTTAGGCTTGAGGATTGAATCCATGACTGGAGAGGAGCAATCGCAAGCAATATTAGTGCATGATGTATATTGATTTATACTCATAGTCAGCTGATAGATCTGATAGGTCTATAAATTCTCAATCTTGATGCTCAGCTGGTTGTTGCTGTCATACCCTTTTTTTTTTTGATAAATGGTTGGTGTCCCTTGGCCCCCCAGCTCTGGACAGTCGCCCCCGGAGGTCGCGGCCGATCTGCGCAGATCCAGGGGTATCTCTCTGAACCCGTATTTTTGGGTCAAACACACGGGTAATTAAAACACACGTAAAACACATGTAAAAAAAAATGTGTCCTGGTGTTGTTTTTTTTACATCTCAAAAATCATCTCATTTCGGCATAGCAATCTCTGTGAGTTCCTCGAGTCCAGAGATCCTTTCAGAGTCCAGAGATCCTGTGAGTCCGTTTTTGGAGGTTCCGTCCCTTTTTCTGGGTCCCTTGCCGGGATTTGTGCACTTTTTCTGTAATGAATAATATTTGATATTTGATGATATTTGAATATATGAATGATATTTGATATTTGTTCACTTTTTCAGATATTTGTTCCCAATCATGCTATATGGTATTGACATTTGATAATTTGATATGTGATGTAGCCTCCGGTCATCTGAGCTGGTGGTTGAGAGATGGTTGCCTCTGACTCCGGCGATCCATCTCGCTGGGACATACAACTGGAGAAGTTTCTGTGGCCAAATGCCAGGTGAGATTTGCAATCAGGAATCCAATGGGTACATTCATAAGATTTCATAAGTCCTGGTTGATTAGTTAGGGGGTACCACCCCAAACAGCATTCATTTGCTACGAAAATGTTAGTGAAACAGCCCAGAGGTTTCATCAATCCACTAGGCGGAAGGCTTTGGATTTGGATTGGCTCGAAATGGCTCGAACTGTTGACCCCATTTCGGACATGGTCGCGGCTGTCCAAAAAGAAATCGCCAAGATCTTTCATGATCTTTCATCATTGCTTTGTCACATATTGTCATATTCCTGTGGTTGAATTATGCATGACTAACCTGAATTATAACTTATATTGGCATGGCTTCGCAAACTAGCCATCACGGTGATGTTGTTGCCAGGTGCTCCTGGCTTCCAGAGAATCTGAGAAGGCATTCCCCCAAGACCCAGAAATCCCAAGCCCAAAAAATATGGTGAAGTGATTGCCCCTGCCTGCGGAACTTGCCATTTTCCCTATTGAATATTATTGACTAACAGTCACCCGGCTGGAAACCAGGGCCTTCTTCAACTTGCTCTGGAGCTTGACGCCTGTCCTCAAATGTCGCTGGTGACGCTTCCGAAACACGGGATCATCCAAAGGTACCCTGGCCACAGAATAACAAATCAACCATGCAATGGATTGCTTTAAGGGAAAATCTACAGGAAACCATTGATTTTTCCATTATATATGAAGGTTTTCTGAATTTTGCAGATTTTCCCGTAAATGAATCCATTGAACTATGGGATTGCAGCATCCATTGATCACACAAATCCCTTTCCTACTAACATTGAATACCACCCAAACGAAACCACTGCTGAAATGTATTGGATCTATGACTTGAGGGGGCAATATGATCCAGGCACCTAGTAGCGCCCATTCAGGGGCCATTCGTATAGCCAAGTCCAACTATTTCACCTGAAACTATTGAAATCTTTGTTGGAATGTGGAATTTCCACTTCCATTTCGTCAAACAGTTCAGCCACCTTTTGCTTCATACTTCGTGAGGGCCTAAAAGGAACGAGACGCGAACGCCCCAAATGGCGCAGCCGGGGCGCGCCGCTTCGAAGCGACTTGTCCGTGGTGCCGACAAGCGGTGCGATGGTGAGCCTGGGGGATCTCCTGCAACGAAAAAGTGGTGCTTTTGGTGGTGATTATATGCACCTTGCATGGAAATATAGTGAAGCACATGTTCACTTATATGAGATATGCAATGATATACACATATATACACAAAACTAATTATATACATATATATATATATACAATTATAATGGTGATACTTTGATCTTCGGAGTCTTTTGTGGTTTCTTTTGATGGGTTTGGGATATTTTGTTGTTTTGGTGCAGAACTTGCAACACAACAGTGGGAGTGCTTTGCATAGTTAAGAAAACATTGGACTTCAGCAATCTTGGCGAAGAAACACCAGTTTCTGCCAGTCCGCAAAGTAATATGAGGTATTTGATGATGGTTTAATTCCCGAATCCTCAAAGCGAGGATTTTATGGAGACACCAAGTGGATTTCATAAAATTCATGAGATCCTGATCATCCTGATCCACCACAGAAAAGACATAGATAATATTCAAGAAACTTTTGGTGAACCGCGTCCAGATCACAATCTTTCACGATCTTTTATGAGACCCTTGGGGAATTGTGGCCACTCAGCAGGTAATTGTTTTACCACGCCATGTGCACAAACAACCATGGGTATCAAATATCGAACCACACACAACAAAATAGGCTTGTTGGTGGTCAATTTGTAAGTGTAACTTGTAAACAAGTATCGCATGGGAATGCAATATGAAACGGTGATATGTGTATGTGTGTGTGTGCAACCCCCTAGCACAAGGAACAACAAGGAACAACAAGGAACAACAAGGAACAACAAGGAACAACAAGGAACAACAAGGAACAACTAGGAACAACTACTACTACAACAACTACAACAACTACAACACCACAGAACAAACAACACACACAACAAACGAGAAACACCAAACACCAACAACCAACAACCACAACAACAGCAGCAGCAACAACAACAAGCACAACCAGACTCAATGGCAATTTGACTTATGGCAAACACTGCTTGTGTCCGGGATTTGGAGGCAAACAACCCTCATCATATCTCATCATCCCTTAGCTGATAGCCCCATTTGGATCTTAGGGGTTCGGCTTCCAAGTACTCAGATCAACGTTTCTTTGGCCGACGAAATGCTTAACTGCCACATGATTGCTACAGGCCAAGGATGGTGAGACATCCGAAACTTCTTGATTGCTCTTAAACAAATGGCACCCCGAAAAACGGGGTCTAAACAGGTAAGCGTTTGGTGTACCCAGAGGCTCCGCCAGAAAGGCTAGGCACCTGCCCATTTCTCAAGCTTGTGCCCCAGCTTTTCCACGGATTTTTCCAAGAAGACCATATCCTGAAGGCCATGTTTTTTTTTTTTCGCCAGGGATTTCTGGGCCAAAGTTGGGGAACGATAACTGTTCGAAAGGCTAAGCCTCAGCAGAAACATGCCAGGATCATCTCTTTTAAGGCTGCCTCGCGGCAGGTGGTCATGAATAAATCCTCACGGGTCTCGAAAATAATGACGATTCACAAATACACGGTACCCCTAGTATGAGTGAAGAATGGTGTACGCAAAAATCATCAAAAATCTATTGGTCAATCATCATGTCTCCCCAGAACAGCACATTTCTATACATGTCTATACATTTCGGCATACTGCATACCCGATTTGCAGACGAACCCGAATCTCAAAAAAGTTTGGTACCTACTTATATCCCATCATAAACCCATAAAATGAATCGTTTAATTTCCCGATATTTATTGTCCATTGGTGCGATCCCAGCTTTTGCTGGTAAAATCTCCATTTTAGATAGTTACCCTCTGGTAAACATACAAAAAACTATGGAAAGATCCACCATTTTCAATGGGTAAATCCACTATTTCAATGGCCATTTTCAATAGTTTTTTGTATGTTTACCAGATGGTAAACTGTAAACTTACATTTTGGTTTGGTAATGCTATCACGTCATGTGATGGGGAAACTCAATTCACAGCTCCCTGGTTCCCCACTCTTGGAGAATATGGCAATACCGCGAAACGAAACGCTCCCTCCTAAGCACCGGTTAGTGCGGTATACCGGTATACCATGGTATACCGGTATACCATGGTATACCCAATCATAAACATCTATTTCTCTCATATGTGGTATGGATGGTATGGTTCATGGCAGCCCATTTTTGATGGTTCAATTCACATCTTGGGGTGATCTCATGAGACTGCGCCGACAGCTCCTTATTGGTAGCGCCTCCTTTCAACTGACCTTGGAGGACGTCATCCCGTCCCTTGTGCATTCCGCAATGGGATTGTCATCCCCTGTATCTGCCCAAAACGCAACGCATCTTTTAAGGAAATTGAAGGCGCAATTCCCAATGTAAACGTTTGAAATTCCCAACATGGGCCGGGATGGTATCAGGAACGCAACCTTGGAATCTTGGAACCATGTAGTCCTGGAGCCTTGGAACCTTCAAAACCTTGGAATCCTGGAACCCTGCCAGATCTGCCAGCGGTTTTGTGAAACAACACGAAACACAAAACGATGAGTCGCGAAGCTTGGACAGGAACAATGCCTTGGCAAAGTCTTAAGAATGGCAAACGTGTATATAATGATATACATATATGCATAGTATGCTCATTGCATGTATATATATATATATTATAATTATATATATATATATATGCATTGTAGTTTCTATCCAAGAGACATGAGGAACATCATGGAAAGATAACATGTTAAACTGTTAAACGACTATCCATGCGAAATCAATACTATTTCACTGTCATCATCTTCTTAGTCATCCACAATCATATGGAATCGTCCAGGGGGCCCCAAAAAGGGCCCTGAAGAACTGATTGCAGCAGTTGTGCGGCAGGATCCCTCTGATTATAAAACATGGCCCACAATCAAGGAGGAAGAACTGATTGCATCATAATTCGCCCTGGAAAGTTGGGCCCATTGGGGATGCCCTTAATCTCCCCTCACCACACTAAATCTTTAGATACAGAACTTTCTGGGTCCAACCAGAGCCTCTGAGCAAGCGCGCAGGTTTTTTTATGATTTCATGGGTTCATAGAGCTTTTGTCAGCCAGCATGTTTACCAAACCACCCGTTATCATCTATCTTCATCTAATAAGCCATGCCATGCAGCACCCCACCTACAGGCTCCTCCATACGGTCAATTCATGCCCTACCACGGGAGCCAACCTTTATCTGACAAAGATGGGAAAGTGGGGGGTCGTCATTCCGATCCTGCTGGCTGGATCATCAAAGAATTCACCAACCTAAAATATGTACCTAACTTTTCCATGTTTTTTTCGGGGTTCCCCTTGCTACCATTTATGCTGACATCGTCTTGTGACGTCGATACAGGAAGCCCAGGACCTCCCCAGGATGCACACACACATATGTAAATATGTAATATAGCCAATCGTGAAAAATGGAAAGTCAACACTGACTTTAAGATACTTTAGAAACATGTGCCGTACAAAGTAAGACTATATCAATGGGTGTGTCTGAAATGGGGCCTCATTTAGAGGCAGTTCTAACGGGGGATTCTGATGGTGGCTTCAAGACGAGCTGCTCATTCCCTGGGTGAACTCCTCCAAGGACAATCTCAGCTGTGCGGCTGTGCGGGATTTCATGGGATATCTGTGGAATATCCATGGAATAGTCATGGAATATTGAGGATTCCACTGACTTTAACAACTCAAAATGGGTAGATCCATTTAATCATAGGGCTGCAAATTGGGGATATCATTCGGATATGATGATTTGGGTCTACTGCACTTCTATGAACAAATTTCAAATTCTGCTTTAACCAACAATGAATGAGGCTTTTTGCCTAGGAATGATGGCTATGTAAATGGGGATCTTCGCCACGAACAAAATAGGGAAAGAAACCTATGGATTCATCGCTGATTCCAAGATTCTGACGCTCGAAAACTTGTTGTTTATATATAATTATATAAGCTAGTAAGTTATTGACCGATTGAAGACTTATTGATTTCGGAAACCGTAGCTGGCAACAGATTTCTTCGATTTCTTCGATCTCCTAATTTCCTGGATGTCATTTAAAACTTCTCCTGCAAACGTTTACAGATGTGGAAAACACCACATGACTAATCTATGGTTGATAAGCATGATAACCGGCAAAAAAGCTCAACAAACATGAGTCTTTTGCTGAAAAGGACTACAACCTCCCTGTCATCCCCCCTTATAGCATAAAACTTGCCCACGAGCCGAGCAAAAAAACGATCCTTACTCAGCAGAACAGGCAGAAACCACCAAGAAGAGCAGCCGGGCAGCTCTCCCTCTCCATCTGTATCCAACAAGCGAAAGAGGTCCACCATTTCTCTCTCCTGGCACCGCGAATGTCTTGCCGTCTGTGACACCTCACAATAAACGTGACCCCAAAATGGATCAAGCAATGGAGGATCACATTTGACAGTAAGAGCATCTGAGTCTTTTTTCTGCGCCATGTTTTCATCCTATATGTCAAATTTCGACACAGAAAACACTCACATCTACTGCCAAAACGTAGTGGAAGGCGGGGGGATGACACCTTTCCAAATGGGATGGCTCGCCTACCAAAGGCATCCTTAAAGGCCCCATCTTCCTAGTTCTAGTCATAACCTCCCGTAACAAATCCAGTAATGTGGTACCTCAAGGGTAAACCATAATCTGTGTAACGAATCATTTGGAGGTCATTTTACATCATCCCAAACAGGCATTCTACCCTAGTAATCCCTAGTAAATTTAATATAATTTCATCAAATCAACCCTAATGACCTAATGAGTCTCTTTTTAGGCTAGCTTCACATTCATTCACCGGGTTTACCCTCTGGTTATGTCATAACAGTTTGCTATTGAAAATGGCCATTGAAATAGTGGATTTACCCATTGAAAATGGTGATTTTCCATAGCTTTTTGTATGTTTACCAGAGGGTAGTTCATGGCATTCCACCAGCTCCAAATCGTTGTGGGCTCTTGTTGGGATGTCTGCACGCAACAACGAAAATCCCAAAAAAGAGTCAGCGAACTTCATGGAACTAGTTATGTAAGTAGATATGTTTATGTAGATCTATGACGCTATATTAACTATATAATACCATATAATACCATATAATACTATATAATACTATCTAATACTATATAATACTATATACTTATAGAACGTAATTCTTGCATCAACATACCAAAAGGGTAATCCAACGTGGCAATTGAACAAATCCTCTATAAATGGTGGCTGTTTTGATGGAAAAAAACATCGATAAATGGGTGATTTTCCAGCAAACCATTTTTGATTACTAGGGTATTTTTCTTAAAACACCCAATAAGTCTGTAAGAATTCATCGGCTTAGCATGGCCATGCCATCGTTGCCATGTCCCAAGCAGCCTTGAGTCCCAAGAGGGTCATCTTGGCGCGAATCTCCTTGATCTTAAAGGCCTTCCATCAATGGATGGCTTTAAGAACTTTAAGGGAACATCTTGAGGGTGTCTTCCCCCATTTTGAGGCTGTCCGCTAACAAAAATCCCTCCAATTATGGGATGAGAGGTTTTCCTGAAACGTCCGAGGAGAAAAACCCCAAAAAAGGATACACTCTAAATTGTTGCACCTGGTGGAAGACCCTCCAATCACATGCATTGAACCATGTGAGAGAATGTTATTACAAATGAGTATGGAACAAATGATCTTTGTCAATGCCAGCCAGGTCAGTATTCCCACCATAGAATGTGATGGTGCGACTCCAACCAGGTTTATTTATAGGAAATACACACATCATATAACAGTGGAATACATAAAACAGTGAAATATGCTGGAATGCCGAAAACGTCAATCCACATGTTTTACAGTATTTATTTTTTGATATTGAATGCGACGGTTGGTCATCTACCCTGCCAAAATTTGCAGATTTGGACGCCAGGTCTCCTGTCTCCATCGCCTCTATATGGAATTGTTTCACGTATTGCGCTCATGCAACTTTGCCAACGAATTTTTTGGGCCGAGCCATTCCTAAATCATGTTTTTTTTTGGGCCAATTCTTATACAAAACTTTTGATGCATTCTATATGGAGGCGGCACGGAAATGCCCAACAGCAGGACCAAACAAATCAGCAATGGTACCCTTCCACTCTTGCGGGACGAAATTTCTTGAGAACATAGTAATGACATCCCTTCACAAAATCTGAAACCCTGGAGGACCCTGTGACAGGTCGCACCGGCAATCTACCCCCCATTGATCCCATGGGATGCCCTTTTTCCATCTTTTTCCATGACTTGGATGGTATGGGGTGCCTCAATTTTAGGAAACAACTGGATAACAACCTAACTACATATTAAAAATCGTTGTTTCCTAAAATTGATAACCATATTAAAAACTAACTACTGGATAACGGACGAAATATGTAACATATTAAAAATCGTTATTTTTTCTTTATGATTGATTAACGCTGGTGAGGAAATTGGATAACTATTGGGTAAAATAAATGTTGGACAACGATGTAGCCATTGGATAACTATGATATATATTGGATATCTATGAAATTAGTGGGTAACTATTAGGTAAATTTTAGATGATAATCACTACATGAGATGAAACATCTCACACAAATCACCCACCTTTTGCTGGTCACCCGACCTGCGAAAATTCCTCCAGGCTCACCTCTGAAGGGCTTGGTGGTTGACCAAGCCCGAACATATGAAAGCTCGCGGAAGTTGGGAGGAGGATCATGATCAAAATTATGATGATCACAATTATGATGATAATGACGAAAAAGTGAGTGAGTAAGTGAGTGAGTGAAAGAACGAATGAAAATGAAAGAATGAAAGGATGGAAGGATGAAAAAATGAAAGAATGAAAGAGAAAAATGAAAGAATGAATGAAAGAAAGAAAGAACGAACAGAAGGAAACGACAAAAAAAGAAAGGAAGGAAGACAGAAAGAATGAATGACTGAATGGCTGACTGACTGAATGAATGAATGAACGAATGAATGAATGAATGAATGAATGAATGCGTCAATGAATGCGTGAATGAATGCGTGAATGCGTGAATGCATGAATATGATGGCAATGATGGTGATGATGATGACAATGATAGTGATTGATGTTGGTGATGATCAAGATGATGATTGATGTTGATGATGTTGATTGACAAAGATGATGATGGTGATGACGATTATGGTGGCAATGGTGGTAATGAAGAAGATATTGAAACTGATGATGACCATGACGATGGTGATGATGAAATATGATCATGGTGGTGATGCAGACTCAGATGATGGTGATGATGTATGCTGACGATGGTGATTTATGACTGGTGGTTGGTGATAAAGAAAAGGATGATGATGATAATGATGATACTTGATAATGAAGATGCTGCTGCTGATGGTGATGATGGTGGACGGTGATGATGATGGTGATGATGGCGATGTTGATTGATGACGATGATGATGATGATTGATGATTGATGATGGTGATGGTGATGATGATGGTGGTGAAAATGACACTGATGATGATGGTGATTGATGGTGATGATGATGGTGATGGTGATGATGGTGAATGATGGTAAGGATAATGATCATGATAATGATGGTGATGGTGATGATGATTGATGGTGGTGATGATGGTGATGATGTGGATGGTAATGATGATGGTATTGATGGAGATGGAAAATGGATGATGGATGACGGACGATGGCCATGATGGTGATGATGATGGTGATGATGGTGATGGTGAAGATGATGGTGGTGATGATGATGGATGACGATGATGATCATGATGATGACGACGGTTATGATCATGATGATGACGATGATGATGATGATGACGATGAGGATGAAAATGATGATCACGATCATGATCATGATGATAGTGCTGATGATGATGATGATGATCATGGTGATGACGATGACGATAGCGACGACGATGACGATGACGATGATGACGACGATGATAATCATGATGATGACTACGACGATGAAGATGATGACGGTGATGATAACGATGATCATGATCATTATGATAATGATCATGATGATGATGATGACGATGACGACGATGATGATGATGACGACGATGATGATGGCGACGATGGTGATGACGACGATGATGACGATGACGATGACGACGATGATGATGATGACGGCAATGATGATGACGGCAATGATGATGACGATGACGATGACAATGGCGATGATGATGATGATGACGATGATGATGACGATGATGATGACAATGACGATGACGATGATGATGATGATGACGATGATGATGATGACGATGATGATAAAGATGAGGATGACGACGATGACGATGACAATGACGATGATGAGGATGAGGATGAGGATGAGGATGATGATGATGATGATGATGATAAAGATGATGATAAAGATGATGATTGTTAAGAATACACCTGCACATGTACATGAGCTATACAGTTGCTGATACAACATGTTAGTCTACTCTGAGTACATGTCATGGTACGATACATTTGGGCTCCATACAGGGCCCTTGAGCGTTACCTTGAGTTAGCCTTGAGCTAGCGTTACTCGAGCGCTACAGTGAAAAGTACAGCGCGTGGGCTACAGCTGCTGAGATTACAGACAGGGAAGTTGTACACTTGATTTCAACATGGTAGCGGAGCAGTGATCCCTGGACGATACAGGACAGGGTGAGCTCCAATACACATTGGCAACAAAGCTACAGCATTAAGGTGAGAACATACAACAACAAACATGGCAGCAGCTACAACTGGAGGAGACCTCAATGCGATGCACAGATACAAACTACCACCACCACACTTTACAGGAGAGTACGCAACATTTGAAGAATGGAAACACAAGTTTGTGGCCTACTTGGGGCTACAGAATTCACAATTCCCCAGGCTCCTACAGATAGCAGAAACATTTGATCAACCAGTTACAGATGAGCTTCTAGCAGACGGTGCAAGAAACAGAGAAGAAGCAGACCTTTGGATACAACTCAGCAAAGACCTACACTACCTACTCATCAACGTCTGCCAAGGACAAGCAGCTGTCCTCTGCAGACAACATACACTACAAGCAGTTGGTCTCGAGACATGGAGACAACTACACAGACGCTTTTCAATTCCACTTGGTACACGCAGTGTCGGGTACCTTACAAAGCTTTTGAAACCACAGTTCAACGAAAACAAATTTGAGGAGTCTTTTACGACATGGGAATTTGAAATAGCAAGATACGAAAGAGACAACCAAGCACCAATACCTGACAACATCAAAATTGCAATACTACTCAATGAGACCAAAGGACCACTACAACAATACCTACAACTACGAGCAGGAGCCATACAACGATATGCAGACATTCGAGAACTCATTCTCGAATACCACAGAGCATCAACAGCGTTCTCCAAGATGCAAGCACAATAACAGGCAATGAACAGCAGCACAAATGATGCACAGCCCATGGACATTGGAGCTACGTACAAAGGAAAAGGAAAGTACAACAACAAGGGTAAAGGAAAGTACAACAAAGGAAAAGGAAAGACACAATGGCACAACAAAGGAAAAGGATACACAGGATACAGCCAACAAGGATACAAAGGCAAAGGTCCAACACCGATTGGACATGGCAACCCCTTCAAGGGAGCAATGCAGTACAAAGGAAAGAGCAAAGGAAAAGGACCACCACAATGGCAAAGTACAACAATGAACAAAGGCAAAAGAAAAGGAACATGTTACAAATGTGGTCAACAGGGCCACTATGCAAGGGACTGCAGAGTGGCAGTCTACAACGTCACAGACATGGATGAAGGCACAGATCAGTACAACCAACAACAGTCATACTACCAACAACCATGGACAGAACAAGAACAGTGGCACTACGAGGAACAATGGTTCCCAGATCACCAACAGTGGCAATATGACCAGCAACAGCAAGCGGCATACAACCAGGAACAACAGCCACCACAGATGCCTACAGCACCAGCGCAGGTAGTTTCCACAGTAGAGTTTGAAACAACTACAATTGCTTCAGTCACAACCACAGGCCTCAACACCTACAAGACAGTCGAGCTCATGATCGACAGTGGCGCAGCAGTACATGTCTGTCCACCAACCTTTGGTACAGACTTTCCACTGATGCCTCTCACAGAGGAACAAACACCACCACTTCGCTCAGTTACAGATGAGCCCCTTTGGGTTCTTGGCTACAGATGGGTGCGCTTCAAGAACATACAAGGACAACACTTGGTGATGCCATTCTACGTCATAGATGGCATACGACACCCCATCGTCAGTGTTACAACTGTTACAAGACTCCTGGAACAAGGTTTCGAACTCAACCTGGTGATACAAAACACTCCACAAGGACAAGTGGCAATGATTGCCCCAACACACACACACTTACAGCAACAGGACCACGACCTCAGCAAGGAGGCAACAACGACTTCTGGAAGTACAACGAACAAGGATACCTGGTCAGGGTACACAAGAGAGGAAGAAAGGCATTGTTCACACCAGGATACGGCAACCAATCAGCATGTCCAGTACAATTTGACAGACTGGACGACTACAGGAAAACAATTGTCTACAAGGAAAACGGTATGCAGACAGTGCTTGAAGACAAGTTCAAGTCACTCACTAAACCGGAAGCAAACAGAGAGGTTACAGGTACACAATGGCAAGGAGAAACATGGTTCAGGATTCTTCGTGACAAGACAACAGCAGGCCAACAGAAACAGGATACAAACAAGGAACAACAAGTTCAGAAACGAATGTATGAAGGAAAGGAAGTGAAGTACAGACACACGTACAAGCAGCAAGAGAAAGAAGATACACTACCAACACCAATGCAGATGGATGGTACAACAGACTACTGGATCAAAGAAGGAAGGTTTTGGAAGAGAGTACATGTGAGACCAAGGACAGAGTTCTACACACCGACACCTGAAGACAATGGACCAGATGCCTACAAACTGCTCGAGAGTTCTCCATTTGGCGTTCATTTTCATTCAAGCTAGGGGGGGGTGCACCTCCCCCCCCCCCCAACCCTTGCTCCAAGCCCGCCCAAGCTAGAAGTGGCTGCACCACCCCCCCCTCCAGCCTTGCTAGTATCATCTCCTGCACAACGCACCATCCCTACCTCAAAGCCTAAATATCCACCAACCCCAGCTTACTTCAGACCATGGGAGATGCACCACCCCCCCAGCTGTTCCCATTCCATGGGGGGGGGTGCACCACCCCCCTCCCCCAGCTGTGCCCATCCAAGGTTGGGGGGGGGTGCCCCCCCCCCCCCCCAGCTGTGCCCATCCAAGGTGGGGGGGGGTACTACTACTACTACTACTCCTCCTGCTGCTACTACTACTACTACTTCTACTACTACTACTACTACTCCTGCTGCTACTACTACTACTACTCCTGCTGCTTCTGCTGCTGCTACTGCTACTGCTATTACTACTATTACAACTACAACAACAACTACTACTACGACTACTACTACTACTACTACTACTACCACTACTACTACTACTACCACTACCACTACCACTACTACTACTACTACTATTATCAACAACTAACTCCAAAGCGTAAATTTGTGTTATGCTACTACTACTACTACTGCTGCTACTACTACTACTACTACTGCTTCTACTTCTAGTCAGGCCAAAATCTAAAAAAAGA